ATAGATAAAACAAATGATAAAACTTTTGTTTATCTAAATCCTCGTTTAATACTCATTGCAATGTCATGAATCATTTTCTGCATCATGAAATACTATAACTATCGAATGAATAGATTAATTATTTTAAGTCTAGTTCGACTTCTGGACTCTCTAATGAAAAAGGTTTTAAATTTTCCACTATTGGTGTTTGATCAGGATCGACACGTATGCGGATTCTATTTGTTTCTAAAGACCGCGGAAGTGTACGCGGAAGATCATCTTTGTATGAGCCAGACATAGGCGATGTATATGGTACATAAATTCGTACAACATCTGGACTTGGTTGATGAGGCGTTGCCCTAGGTGTGGGTAAACCACCACTGCCAGAGCTAGCATTAGAAATATTACTTTGAGTATCAAGACTATTGTCTAACGCTTGAGACCGTGTCGCCGAACTAAATACAGAAAGGTCAGCTGTCGAGGTAACAGATGTATCTGCCAATGACCGGCGTGAGCCATTGGGAGAGGCCCCATCATCAAGACTTGGATCAAATGAGAATTTGCTTCCTGCACATATATGTAATTTTTATTATACTGCAACAGGATATCCGAACAATCGTGTTTTCACAAAATACTTTCACATAGTAAGTGTAATACATTTGATTTAAAATCTGTATTAATTAAAGCTTGTCTCTAAAAACACACGCCTCACGCTTTTCTTTATGAATGAAATACTAATTAATTGACAATTAAGTTTAACGTGATTCTCATAATTTAATATTACTGTTACGTAACAAGGATATTTTAAAACGTGCACTGATATTTTAGCCTTTTTTCTTTTAATACTTTTTTGTATGAAATTTCCTGAGTATTCTAAAATAATCACAGTCTATTACTCCTTACTTTTTATTTCATAAAAAAATTATCAATGAAAATTTCTGATACAATCTTAAAGGCAAGTGTAGTTTCATTTTAAATGATGCTAAATCTATATAAAAAAATTTACTTACGATTATATAGCAATAATTATAATACTTCAAAATATGGCTTATATAATATTTCTGTAAAGTTCTATTTATATATGTATACGTTTACGAGCATATATATATATATACGTAATTGAGCAATATCATACTTTTTAATCTCAGAACCTTATCTTTGAAAAGTACCTTACAGTCTAGTATTATATATAACCATTATATCAATCTCATCTGTATCTGTACTTTTATCTTTCTCCTCATCCTTAATAATACTCTCTTGTTTAGAATGTAGAAGGCAAGTATCTGTGTTACCATGTACTATGTTTTCACTATATCGTAACTCACCGCCAAGACCACAACTGGTTTGTTCAACCGGTGTTGTACTTTCTCTACCGTCATCAGCGAGTACAAGATCTCTACGTTGTGTTATAGATTCTCGCATTACGTGTTGTGCTTCGCTAAATTCTTCGGTACGTCTCCCAACCTAAACATATTAAGACATGTATTAAACACGAGGTTATTTTTATTAGTTATTTCTAGATTACCTTGCTTGCAAAAGTAGGTTCCTTAAATGTGCCAAATGGGAATCGTGGTAATTCGTGTGGTAAGGGAGGGCCAGGATAATCTAACTTGGCACGTTTTAGTTCTTCCATACTACGTTCCATAGTACTTATTACTGTATCATCATCAAAGCAAAAATCTTTTTCTAATTTAATTTGCAAATAATTACAAAATTCATCTAAACTTTCCATCGGCATAAGAAAACGTTTATGCATTTTCATGACCGTGTATGCCATAGCAGGTAAAATGCGATCCCCATCTAATAAAAATATATCCCAAATTCGAAGACCGAGGCTCACAGGTGTCTGTTATAAATAAATAATTGTATTTAGATACCGTATGGTATGTATTAGGTTGTCCTAAAAGTCTCTTTTGTTTTATAAGGAAATAATAGATGCACGACATTTTTTGTTTTATTGGAACAAACTTTTGTCCAACAGAATAAAATGGATCATACATAATTCAATAAAATAATATAAAAAAAATATTGTGTATCTATTACTTGCTTATAAAACGAAAGAGACTTTTAGGACAACCTAATAGAATAGATTTTATAACGATTTAGAAAACAAAGTATAAAATATTTTCTTACCCTCTCTTGGAAAACAACAAAAAACCATTTTAGCGCATAAAGAATAGAATCACAACCACATTTATCGAGTTTCCGTTTTAATTTTGGTAAAAATTTATTCATAATTTTATCATGATGCTCTATGAAACGATTTAATTTTGGAAATCCGTCAACATAAAATCCTATAAATATAAATATTTGTTTAATATTAAGCCAAAACATTTTTTAATATTGAATTTATGATACAAATTCAGACCATGCATGGTATATTTTTTATCAGCAAGCAACACAGAAAGACCCCAAAATGCATCTTCTTCATCCATATACAATAAAAGTAATCCAGCTAATACAGACATTCCTTGACAATAACCCACTTCCATATTGTACATACTATAGGCAGCCAATACATAAAACATAGATCGTTGTTTTATGCTATACCTTTCTCTGTAGAAAATAATTAAAAATTTAATATAACTTTCAATAAATGTATACTAAGTTTTTATGTATTTTTAGAAATCTTTTATATAATTTACACACCTATAATTGATATGATCTCTATATTGTCTAGCTACATCAGCATCGATTTGTCTTATTTCTGTAGACCATTTACGTGCAAGTTGTAACATCTCTTCATATTTACCAGCTTGTTCTTTCTTTAAATTTTTAATACCCAATAACAATGCCCACACTTGACCACGAAATCTATTAGGAATTCCTTTATATACTCTGCGCCTTAATTTTTCCTTAGTTGAAGAACTATCCCATTGTTTTGTCATTTTCTCCCATTTCTTTAGTCTTTCCATTTCCACCCGGTGAGTCTTAATCTCATTAGGATCTGGTTTTTGTGGCAAACGTTTGTCACTAAAATATAAATGTTACATGTTAATGACAAGATAACAATAATAATTACTGTATATTATTATAATAATTACTGTATGAATCCATATCTGTCTGTGGTATGATATACTTCAAAGGTAGGATCTTCCCAAGGATCGATTTCTGCTCCATTTTCTCTACCACGGTCGTAGCAGCTAAATATTCTATCTCGCTCTGCAGCAGACCGTTTCAATAATTCTTCCTCATTCATCCCCCGTGAGAATTCGCAACCAGATTCTTACAAACATGCCGTCTTGTTAAGAGGATTCTATTCACCCTAGGCTGTTATCTACAATAAAAATAAATTCCATTAATAAAATATTCTTGTATAAAACAAGATTTTTTTATATTATAAACAATCTTGATAACCTTTAAAATTTTTATATACAGTTTCATATACCAACATAAACTCTAACAATACGTACATTTTTGAACTGTTAGTAATATATCACTGATAAATTAAATACAAAATAATCGCAATTTCGATCTTATAAAGAAAGAAGTACTAAATATATCCTAGGTTATTGTTGAAATAAATAATGCACTGTTATTTTTATACATATACGAGAAGGTGAACTGCAATTTTATTTTATAAATTTCGACGTTCTAAACTTAACGTACTACATATTGACAAGAAGCAAGGTTATATACATAGAAAATAAGTGATACTCTTAGTAATCAATCTGGATCTTACCGCTAAGAAACTGATTATATTAATATAAACACTGCATACTTAAGAATTAACTAGTTTTCTTCGTTTCATATTACATACATATAAGAAATCATTTCTTCGGAAGTCACTCGTTCAGCAAAACTACCGTACATACATACATACATACATACACACATACATACATACATACATACATGCAACTTCAAGTCGGATTTAGATGTTTCCATTCTCTTTTACGTATAAGTGTTGCCAACGCATTTACTCTAAACAAAGGCTTTTGCCAAGTTATCATCTGAATTATGCTGGAAATACCTTTATCACACAATATTTTTATTTATTATTATTATTATTACTATCATTATTTTAGTATCACTAAGGTGTGTTGTCGAGTATAATCTTTATGTTTGTATGGCAAAATATATAACTCAACTAATTTATGTTCTATCGACTTATAATTAACGCTGTTTACATATACATAAAGCTATTTTACAATGTCCACTTATTTTTTACTAAAATAAGAATACTGCAATTATTCTACCTATAAATGAACAGTCTTGTACACTTAAATAAAAATTCTATTTATAGTTTTGAAATGTAGACAAATTTTCTTCTTAATATCCTTATAGACACTTTCTGTTTATCTCTACTCCTTATCAGATTCCTTCAGAAATCACAATGTAATATTGTGAACCTCATGTATAATCAAGTTATTTTTATTTATTTATAAATGCTATTTATAAATACTTAAGCCATAGATCTACTTGTGACAAAGCTTATAATATGTATTAGAAATTTATATAAGAGCAATTTTATATATATTTAATTAGATATTTAAAATGTAAGATAAGTCAGGTCGCAAATTAAAACTTTAAATTTCAGTTGTAATAAAGAAAAAGAAGTGAAGGATGACGAAAATGAATGAATTCCTCTCTTTCATTATTAACATAGTTGTAGAACTTGTTATAGACTCATAATTTATTTAATTTTAATTAAGTAATTCATCGTATTAGTAATAGGTTCATATAGCAAAATACCAATGGCGCATAGGTTAGTGCATTATCAACATTTAAGTTATATTGTAATCTTAATTTCCCTTTGTTAAAATTGCTAGAACTAGATAATACTAGATAATATCTTTAAATATATTATAAATTGATGTACAAGAAATTAATCCTAAAGTTCTTAGAAAACCTACTTTAAAGCAAAGGAACTTCAGTATAAAAATAAATTCTAAGTTCATAATAATATGAATGAATACAAAGACATTAAAGTTAGAGAAGCTTTATCATTAACATTAGCTACCAAAGATTATAAGATAAAAATTATACTAAACAGGTGTATTTAAAAATGGAATATATATATGAAAAAACACAACTCAAAGAAAAGGAACCAATTCTCCTTCCCACATACATTTATTTTGCAATATTCAAAATTCCTAATGTAGTGTTACAGACGTAATTTCGATTACTCAATAGTTTTCAAAAATAAAAAATTCACGTGTTGTATAAACCTATAAAATTCTTATAGAAAATAACAAATTTGTTATTTTAACTATTCAAATACTTTTAGTATAAAAAATTCACATATAAATCTATAGAATTCCTATACAAAATAAATATTATTTCATTTAATCAAATACTTTTAGTATCAAAAATTTACGTTAAAATACAAATTGTTTTCAAACAGATATGTTCCCCTGTATAAAAGTATTTGTGGCCCTGAAAAGGGCCATTTATGTTATTAGTCTGAAGTCTAAGCCTTTTTTTCGGTTTTCTTTGGCAGAAGTACAGCCTGAATATTTGGAAGAACACCTCCTTGCGCAATGGTAACACCAGACAGAAGTTTATTTAATTCCTCATCATTGCGGATGGCAAGTTGCAAATGTCTCGGAATAATTCTAGTTTTCTTGTTATCTCGTGCGGCGTTTCCCGCCAATTCGAGAACTTCAGCAGCCAGGTACTCCATAACTGCAGCCAAATAAACTGGAGCTCCAGCACCGACTCTTTCAGCGTAATTTCCTTTTCTCAAAAGTCTGTGGATACGACCAACTGGAAATTGCAGTCCAGCTCTGTTCGAACGAGACTTCGCCTTAGCTTTAGCTTTTCCTCCTTTCCCACGACCAGACATTATTGGTTAACTTTTGGATATAAACAAACAGATCACTAACGTTACAACTGTTCGCTGCAACAAGCAGGGAACTACTGTTTTCGACTTTACCATTTCAGCTATTTATAGGCGCAGCGATACCTACTCCCGGACCAATCACTAACAAGTTCTATTGTGATTGGTGACAAGAAACAGATGTTTCGTACAACCGCTTTATGTCCTCTCTCTCTCTCTCTTTTCGCGCTCTTTCTCTTTCAGCATATGTAATTATTTTATTCTATAACCTGCAAAAAATATTAGAGTAAATAGTTTAATATATCTACATAAACTATCTTTGTTTGAAATTCCTATTTAAAAATAATTTCCATAAAAATTTCGTAAATATGAGAGTACGTACATATATCTCATAACTTTCTTTTCTTTTCTTCCTTTTCACTTTTTCAACAACATTATTTCTTAGGATTTGGCATTTTTACATTACAAAGCCATTTTAATTATTTTTTTATAGTAGCAAGTAGTAGTTAAATAATACTGTAGTATAACTGTATTTAAATAATATTTTGTCATAGATCCTCGAGAATCATAAACTATTCATTACGAGAAATTATTAAATAGCTGCTATAAGAAAGTTAAATAAACTATAATTCTTTACTTCAAACAACCTATTTCTAATCAATTTTTTGAAAAATTTATTTTTCTTGGTTGTGTTACTCCTTCAGTAAACCGGCGATAGCTTGAATGTTAGAACGCTTGTAATACGAACATCTGTGGCTCTCTAAGAAACTCACAAAATGTATAATCGTCTGACATAACAAAGAACAATTCTTTACAATGAAAAATTTATATAAGAGAAAAAAAAAACTGAATATTATATTCGTATATATAATATTTTTATATATTACATATATAGTAATATATACAACGTACAGCTATAAATAAAAGTATGGCAACAATACTTATTTTGTACAGTATTGTAATAAAAGTATACGTACAATTTTGTAAAAAACACAAACTTTGATTTAATTTCGTCGTTTCTTAATAAAATTACATATGTAATACCTTTGTTCGGAATAATATCGACTCTAGAATCAAAATATTTTCATTTGGTATTATTACTATTACAAAGTTTAATATCATTACTTGTGATATGTTTTGAAAATTCATTGATAAAAGTACTTACAAAGTTCACAATGGTTATATATTTAGAATAGTTCTAAAATCGATTCCTTTATCGACTTTATGATACTGAAAACTTACGTTTTATTAAAAAGTTCATTATCTACTTTTTAACATTTATTTCTATCGTACAACTATTTAATGATAATTCATTATCATTAAATAATCCATATATTTAAACTTTGGACCTGAAGGTAATATTTTACCAAAAACGATTGCATAACAAATCCCAATTTCTACAGATTCACCCAAAATTCTATAAGAAAATCTATTTTATGCTAATTCAACCTCTTCATTCATCATATAAGGCAAGTAAGATCACTATTTTTCAATTATTATATCATATTATAATATTCGATTAATTAATCTCATACTATAATATACATAATATTCTTTGTAAAATAGTTCAAAATTATAATCATATTCATATTATCATTTAAATATAATGAATTAATTTAGCCATATCAAATGTTTATAGAATGTAAAAAATATACTTTTATAAAAAAATGAGTATAACTCAACGTTTGGAGCACATAAAAACGCACGTAACCATGTGTGGAATACATTCTATGAAATCAATTTCCAGGTAACAACAACAGCAGCGCACCAATCGCGTGGCGAGGAATTCCATCTAGCGAGCATGAAGTGCCCTGATTGGCGCGCTGCTGTTACGTGATTTGGCTATATAAAGGAAGGATTGGCATTGGATGAGCAATCTACAACCGACTCTTGTAACGGTTACATCGTTAGAAGTATTGAATTTTGAAGCGTTCTGCATTCAACATGCCGCCAAAAGTAAGTGGAAAAGCTGTGAAGAAAGCCGGTAAGGCTCAGAAAAACATAAGCAAAGCCGATAAAAAGAAGAAGAGAAGAAGGAAGGAAAGTTACGCTATCTATATCTACAAAGTGCTGAAACAGGTGCATCCTGATACTGGTATTTCTAGCAAGGCAATGAGCATCATGAACAGTTTTGTTAATGATGTTTTTGAACGTATTGCTGCTGAAGCATCAAGATTGGCGCATTATAATAAACGTTCTACAATTACCTCTCGGGAGATCCAAACTGCTGTGAGGCTACTGTTACCTGGTGAATTGGCTAAGCATGCAGTAAGCGAAGGTACTAAAGCAGTCACCAAGTATACCAGCTCCAAATAAGAAGATATATCTAAATTGATACAATAAACTGGCATTGAATTTTAAGATTGATAAGCAAAAGAAATGGTCCTTTTCAGGGCCACCAAATTATATTAATGTTGGAACATTGTTCGCATATAGTTAACATAAGTTAAACATATTTGTATATCCTTTGCAAAAAGTTTTTAAAATTCATTATGACTGTTTTGTAGTATGAAATAGGATGATGTCTTGAAAATGGCTTGAGAATGTTTCCATTCATACATACCTTAATTAATACCAAAAACTTAATACTTGTTATCGATGCAATAGGAATTTTTTATTATACGATGTTAGTTTATCATTCTAAAAATGCATAACTGAAATCTTACATAAATATGTTTTTAGTAAGCATAAAATATAGGAAACTGAAAAGACAAAAGCCTCAGAGACTATTAGATGTAAAATAAGTAAAATTTTTTTATTATCACATAATGTAATAAAAAAAGAGATGATCTGCATCATAAATATCAATACACGTAACTTTTATTAATGGAAAGAGACGTTATAATATTTATGACAACATTTGAGCACTTGTGGTTTCTTCGTATTTACACTTTATATTGTGTCTTAATAAAATCCTTTTCTCACGGAACAAAGTATTTCAGTCATTTTGTATTTTAATTTTCTACGATTTATACGAATTTATGAAATGTTAGTTTATTATAAAAACAGTAGAAATTCTTTCTTACATACGAATTAAAACGTTTTGAATCGATCTAAGTTTCGTTATTAATTCTTGTCCATGAGGCTTGCTATACAATGTAGTTAAACACTTTGAAATTACGTCTTGGCACTTCGTTATTATTTTTCGTCTGCAATTCAATCAATTATTTTAACATTAATCGAATAGAAATTAAGTAACTGTCACATTTTGTCATAATTATTTTTATGATTATCTATTGATTTATTTTCATGACGCAGTAATGTACTTACTTAACGAAAGTATTGGTAATGTTCGAATGAGATATAAAGTAATTAACTAAATTTGCAGTCGATTCGATAAGGTGAAAATCATTTCCCTCGTTGAACCAAGTTCGAGTATCTTTGCCAATCATTCTGAAAACAAACATTATGCATTTATTTATTAAGTAAAATATAAAGAAATGGATTTACCAATAAACATATTCTACTTACTTGTAAATATCTAAGAGATCCTCCATTGATACTCCTAACTGTAAAAACCCAGATATAATTCCATTATTTGATACATTTAACTTACATGCTTTTATTTCTAACTGTTTTACTAGGAAGTCTGAAAAAATATAATGCATCTTATAGTTTCATTTCATATTATATTTTCATTATATCATAATGGTGATAAAAGAGTTTTGTTATTACCAACTGGAAAACAGTGTGGTGATCCTGAATACTCCTGTCCCAAGGATATAATTTTGCTCATTAAAATAGTCATTTTATCTTCTGCTGTTGACGCATCTTTTAGTTCTGTAAATATGTATTATCAAAACGTAAATACGAGATATTTTTTCATTCATATAAATGTATAAGATAGAATGTTAATACCATTATTTATAATATTAGTCCAAATTTCCTGGATTAACATTGCATCTTGATGACCAGAACAATGAATTATAGATAATTTGCACTCCCACAATTGTAAAGGGTCCGCATATTCTTGGTACAACTACAATGAATGATTAACAGATATGAATCCTAAAAGTTCCATACAAATATCTTAATTCATAACATACATGGTTGGATCATACCTTTGTTATATCAAGTAACGAAAACTTTAATGCTCTAGATGCTTCATCGCTGAGTCTACCACTTAAATGTTGGTTACAAATTGTATCTAATATCTACAATATGATGACAACATACAAATCATATTCTAAATAGATTTTGCCATAATATTTATAATCGCTTACCTGTTGTTGTATTCTAGCAACTTCTACTTTGTCTTCTAATTCACGTAAAAAAATGCCAAGGTATGGAGCGTATCCAGCCTGGTCACTTCTCATACAAACCACTGCTCGAGCTAAATATTCAACTCTCTGTGATAATGTTACATTTGATCTATATTTAAAGAAAAGAAAAGAAAATGAAAATAAAAAGTAGTTTCCTGAAATCAGGGAAAGAGGTGTAAATTTAATCAAAGTTATGTGCGTTATACGTACTCTTTAGTTGCTAAAGCATCCAATATTTTAGCTGCAGCAGCATGATTTTTATTTTTTTCATAAAATTGCCACAGCAAGTCTGGCGCATTGACTCGGGTAAGATAAGCTTCTAAAGAAGGTGCTGCTAGAGCAACGAGTTCTCCATGAAGCCTTCTTTCTATCATCCAAGCATACACTGAAGCGTGGAGAATTTCACACTTAGAATGTAATGCGTCAGTTATGATGTCATGCAACTAAAAGATATAAATATTTATGTAAAAGATCCAGTAAATTTATTGGAAATAATATAATTTAAAAGGAAAGTATACTTTACTATTTCTTTTGCTGGTGTAACAGGCATAGTTGAGCCATTTTGTTGTGGAGGACCAGGTTTACTGGGTATGGTAGGTGTCAATGGATTAGAAATGCTTTGATTATAAAGATGATCCAATAACGTGGTGAATTCTTTATAAATCTCTAATCTATATACAAAAAATTATTTGAATAATTAGAATATGTGATATATTAAACATACAATTATTAAAATGTTATTTTATAATCAGTACCTTTTTATGTAAGCAAATCTTCCTTCTTGATCTTCGATTGGTTCATTATTTTTATAATAATGTAAGGCAGCATTATTAGGGTCTACTCTTTCTGCACAACAGAGACATAACTCGAGTACACCCGAATAAAATTGACAAGCGATAAATTGTTGGCATACTGCACTTAAATTTAGTCTGGGAGCAACTTCTTTGCAAAGCTAAGGATGTGAATGTAAACAGAGAGCATAAAATTGTACAAATAATGTTATACATAATATTAGAATGTTTACCTTTAAAGCAGATTGTAAATAGCATTCCTTCTCTTCTGGATTTGTACAACTTTTTGCTTTCAAAATTATTTCATTAGCCTACGATTTATAAAAATGTTAGCAATATATAAAAATAAAATCATGATTCTTTTAATTTTACTTCTTGTACCTTAGAACAAACAGCATCCTCGCTTCTATATAAATTTGGACAAACTTCTCGTAATCTTTGACTAACAGCATCAACAGATGCATTATCTCCAAGATAACTGTAGATTTGTAAAAATTAGTACACCGGATTTTTATTATTTATTTAGTTCACTTACCTATCTATAAGATGAATGATCAATAATGAAGAAATTTCATGTCCAATTAAAATTAAATCTCGAAATGTAGCTGTAGAAAATTGATTAATTTGGTCCTATAAATTATAAATATTAATATAAAATTTTCAACTTAAAGAAAATTGTAATATGTAATTGACTAACCTTTGATAAACAATTTACAATATTATTTAAATGGTTTTCACATAAAATTTTCCAAAGTTCTAACACTTCACAAGCATGAGTAATGAAAATTTTTAATGCAGCTAAAGAATTCCTTTCTTCGACTATTGGTTCTTGGTAATGACTAGGTATAGTTGTTTCAAATCCATCAGTTATTCTAGTAGTACCGTGTCTAAAAATCGATAAATAGTTCAAATAAAATTTAATCATTTGTAAAGCTGTTGAAATAGTATATAGATACATACTGCTTAGTAATGTGAGTATTTTTATTGAGAAACGATCTTAATGCTTGCAGAAGACTTAGAATCCAGCTAACTTGTCTTGTTGAAATTGTACTAGAGATCTGAAATTATAATATGAGTAAAGGTTAATATACAGAAACAAAAACAATGAAAAAAATTTATACCAATTTAAGTCACCTGAGTTTTGTTGTTTATAACTTCTTGTTTAATACAACGCATGTTCCATATTGGTCGAAGTATTCTTCCTACATACAGATATAAACCATTATGTTTTGCAGAAAACTGTTGTAGAGAAATGTCTGTATTAAGTCCAACTGGTGCATGAGGTCGAAATCCTTGAAGCCTTAAATCATAGTTTGGAACTCTTGGTGTCGATGTGCGCATATCTCCTATGACATTCATAAACTATATAAAGAAAAACTTATAAAGAAAAATAAAACTTTCATATAAAATTAATGTAATACCTGTATTTATATTAGTAAAGTTAGTACCATGTACATCAATTGCAGGCCCAATGCTTGTCGTTCGTTGACTACCATATAAAAAGAATGCTCTTGTTGCCCATTCTGCCAACTATACAAATTATAATTAAATATTACTTTCTAATTTTACAAAACTTAATTTTTATAATTAAATTTTGATCTTAATTTTTAATTTGAATCAGGACCTCAGCATTTTGAGAACTTTCAAGCGTGGCTAAAATAAGACAAGTCGCACATGCTTGTTCCAATGATTGCGACTGAAAATATGCGCGAACGGCTTCTGTATCAGGACCACGTTGTTCTAATAGAAGCTGCTTTAAGATATCCATTGGACGAACTTGAACATAAATAATGGCACCCTGTAAGTAAAGAAATAAACAACTTGTAAATAACTACATCTAATAGATTTACAGACCTTTAATTAATTATATACCTGAGAAGTCAAAAAGATAAATTTTCGTGGCGCTTCCATGTGCTGCCTTACAAGAAGAGGAGGTTCTTCTTGTGTAATACTTTGTTTTTCAATACATATAGCTGGTTCTACAAGAATTTCTGCCATTGCCCATACGGGACTATCGAGGGATAAAGGACTTTGAGTTTCAGCTAAATAATTTGTGAATGGATAAGCATCATTACTTAAACATAAAGCAGTTTCTGTATCTCCACCGCAAACAAGAATTAATGTTCCTATAACAGATATATACTGCATAGTATATAAATTTTAATATTATGTCCTTAGCAAAAAAATATTGGAATGTATACCTTTCCTATAATGTGCCATTTGTACTTTCCTTGGCCTCATTACTGTAGCATTAGCAGCATAACCTGGTGGCAATCTAACATGTATTAACTGCAGACCTTGAGGTCTTATTGTTGGATTAGCAACTGCAGTGCAACTGAAGTAAAAGCGTGTTCCAGTAGCTGCAACTACAACTAAGTTTAAATGTACTGACTCTGACTCTGTAATAGCTGATATGCTCACCAATGGTCGAAAATTATTACTATCCAGTGTTCTAAAAATGATAAATGTAATATGAATTATAATTTCAATTATTTAAAAATAGGTTTTGTATAAATATACATACTTAACAACATGAACAGCGTTTTGTACTAAGGAAGCTTGTGACAAAGACGCGACTTTGGACGCACCATTATTATCGATATCCCAAACTGTAATTGTTCCCTTATCACCGAGTGTGTATAAAATATTTCGTGAATCATCAACAGAAATTTGTATTATTGCTTCTTCTTCTGATAAAGCTATAGTAACAAATGATGGAACTAAAAATGATAATGGACCTTCAGAATGATTTATTTTTTTACAACGTTTCCCAAACCAGCTACTTTCTGCCTACATAACGAGCAGATATTAAAGTGATTAATTATGATTTTTATATTGATTATTTTTATATTCATATTTGTGTAGCATGTTTACCTGATAATATATTTCATAAAGGGATCCATTTCTACCACCAAGGAAAATTCTCCCACTATTAGTGTTAGCTATTGTTGTAATGCCAATCCCATCCGTAGCAACTGTGAAAATTGGTTCAGGAACTAGTTGCATTTCTGGTGAAGTGCCTAAATTGAAAATTGAAACAGTAAATAAGGTTTAGTAAATAAGGTAACAATAAGATTTAGAAAAGATGTAATCTTCAAGTAAAACTGAAACTGTATTATACCATCACTGGTTTCTGTTAATGTAACTCCAAGAATAGTTATTTCCACTGTAGTTGTAAGAATCAACAAATATTTTACATAAGATTGGAACACCCCTGCTTTGGGTTTTACTAAACCTACACTTATAATAGTTTCATTTAACCCATCAAAATATGCAACATCAGACCTAAAAACATATCATTATAAATATTAATTACTTAATTATGATACCTTGAGAAAATATTTTATAAACTTTAAATAAATTTTTACTCATTTTCATATGACCAAACATATATATCACTATCAATTGTAAGCCAAGCTTTTGAAATTTCTGTAAAAAGACCCATCATACAATGACATTGCATATCTAATCAAATATTAAGAAATTATATTTTTTATATAAGGAAGCAAACGAAACATGCATATTACGAATATTAAAGAATGATCAATTATATAAAAGGATACGATGAAAATGTTCCATTATCTCAGATGGCAAAGAAATTTTACTATATGCTTTCATTTGATTTATATTAGGAAAACATAATGACATCCCATTTAAATTTGGATAATCATGATCATCAAGACCACTAACAGTTGGTCCACCTAAAACAAAAAAGAGTTTCTTTATAGAACATAGAATAATAAAAAAATATGCAAGAGACAAGAGAACAACAAATTTACCTTGTACGTTATATCTCATAAGATTAATTAAGGATGGAAAGTTGCTATCAGCTGTAATGTGTATATCAACCACTTTCCCTGCCATTTCTAAGGCATCTAAGTGTATTTTAAGCGGTTCCATTTCAGTGAGGGTCATGTTTGTACGGTACAGGGAAAAATTAAATATTAAATACACACAGAACTAAATTCAAACAAAAAGATAGAAATAAGATAATAGTAAGGGTATTAACAAGTTTTAACGTGAATTATTATTATATAATTATTATCAACTAATATCATTATCCTTATGTACTTATAAATAATTATCTGACTTTTTCGTCTAAACATCCTGTGATTAAAGGTTAGACTTATTTATTTATCTAAACATTGAATAATATTGAAAATAATAGGATCTACTGTATTGTTTTTTAAAAACATAATTGCATCTTAAAAATAAAAACGTATTCATTTTACTTAAGAAACACTTACTACAATTTATTAGAACTATTTGTATATTTTTAATGACATTCACGAGGCTTATGCCGCTCGCGCCACACAGGTAAATTTTAAGTTGTATTATCATACAAACTATATACGCATACGCGAAACTAATGAATCTTATTGGCTTGAATTTATCTGGTACATAGGAGATAAATATGTTTGAATTCAAATTGAATCTCTTTATGCATTAAACAATTTACGCTTAAAATAGGAATATACTAAATATAAAATATAACTTATCTTTTTTTATGATTCAGTACTTTTAGTAGATAATACAATAATAATAATTATATTTTATTTTCTAAATTATTACATATAATGAAAATCTTGCCATCTACAATATTTTTCCTAATATTTCTCATTTCACCGATTTTTCTTGGTGCCACTGGTAAGAGATTTATCAGATATGTTTCATATTAATAATTTAATATATTGTTAATACTTTTATTGCAGATAATGTAATGAATGCAATGCAAAACCTTTACTGCAATCTTGGATTAAAACTTGATAATTCATGTCCCATTGATGGTGGCTGGACATTTTGGAGTCCATGGGGTTCTTGTTCTGGGAAATGTGGATTTAAAGGAAAAAGAATGAGACGACGTACTTGTGATAATCCTGTGCCTTCAAATAATGGAGCCCCTTGTATTGGTCCTAGTTATCAAATTGAAAATTGTCAAATTACTGGTACAACCTAAAGTAATAGAATATCAATATAATTTTACATGTAATTTAATGTAATAAATATTTTTTTAGGATGCATGATGAATGATTACGAAACAGTTGTAAATGCTCATCCTATACGTAAAGGAGAATTGAAAATTGTAAAGAAATTTCATAAAAAATTACCAGCTTTAATAGAATTGTGTTTTCTTGTCGATTGTACATTTTCTGTTGTAGAAAAGATTCTTGGAAAAAATGTGGTAATAAACAATAGAATTTGTAGTTATTTAAAGAACAATCTAAAAATAATATTTTTATATACCTTCTATAAAGATGCTTTACTGGAATGCTATGAATTGTGTTAAATATGATATTGGATGTCCAAGTAAATAAATAATTAAATACATATGAATATTTACATAAATGTATGAATGCATGTGAATAATAAAACATTTTCAGACTCTGGTGGTTGGAGTGTTTGGGGAGTTTGGTCGGTATGTACTGCAACTTGTGGCAAAGGACAAAAATATCGTACAAGAATTTGTAATAGTCCAACTCCTTCAAATTTTAAATTAATGTGTAGTGGTTTGGCATTTGAAATGAAAAGCTGTGTGGGGATTAACTGCAGGAAACTCTCAGGTATAAATTCCCAAGGTCTGAGTGTTAATTTATATGGAATATAATTTCTAAATTATATATTATCTCATTGTTTTCAATAGGGAGTACTTGGAGTAATTGGAATGAGTGGAGCACATGTAGTGTAAAATGTGGTAGTGGAGTTCAAACCAGAAAACGCTTATGTTCAGAAACGCAAAATTTGCAAGGAACTTCATGTAAAGGTCCATCCAAAGATATAAAAGGCTGTATAATTAATAATTGTTCTAGTAAGAATGTTATTTTATATAAATACAATATTGTACATTTTCTAGAAATAACTTGTACAATCTGTAAAAATTATTTTATAATTATCAATTTTTATTAGTAAATGGAATGTGGTCAACATGGATGGTTTGGTCACCTTGTACTTCAAGTTGTGGGATTGGTACACAATTGAGAAATCGAATGTGTACCAATCCTTCTCCGAGTGGTAATGGTACATCTTGTGTTGGTTCAGCTTCTGAAGTTCGCCAGTGTTTTACTAAACCATGTATAAATAAATTACATGAAGTAGTACACTTCACAGAAAGGAGTAGTCTTCAGTATGACAAAACTGGAAGACCTTCACGGTTGCTTCATATGTATCTAAGGTTTTTACCACTGTCTCCTTTTGGTATGATTATTTATCGTTTTGAAAAGGATTGTAAAGGATCGATGTGTGACTTCGTAAAATTGTTTCTGCAAAATGGGAAGATAGTACTTTTATCTCAAATTGCTGACTGTACATTAGCTTTAATTCATGAGACCAAATTGGAAGTAAGAAATGTTCTATTTTATACATTAATTGTTTTGTATTTGATTTATGTTGTTTTTTAGATTGGACAATGGCATGTAATATTAATTGCAATATATGGGACACATGGAGTATTACGTATTGATGATGGTTTTCATAAAGTTACTTCTTTTTCATGCATTCCAATTTCATATGACTTGGATCATGCAATGGAAGTCGGAGGATTTCAAGGACAAATTCAAGAACTAACAATTAATTTTGCACTTGTTCAACTCCATACATCAAAAGTTATTCATATTTATTCAGTTCTGCAATATTAAGTGAATAAATATATTTTAAATATAAAATATCATTTAGGATAATCACAGTACAAAATATGTAAATCTTTTATCCAGTAGTAACAATGTTCGATATTTGATGGGAGATGACAATGAAGGTTTTATTAACATTGGTTTAACAGATTCAGTTGCAGTATCATGTCCAGAAAGTATAGAATATTGGCAAGTAAGAAATTAACAATTGCTATTTAATCAATAATATTTTCAAAGCTATTATTTAATAATAATTTTATAATCATTATAATTTAGATTATAATTGCTATAAAAATAGAGAGCCTGAATGGACTTATAGCAACAATACCAGGTGATTTCTTCAATAAATATATCTTATTATTGTTAGAAGAGGGAAAAGTAAAGCTGAAATTTTATCAAGGAGAAACTTCTACTGCAATTGAAAGTATGGAACATATTTTAATAGGAGAATGGTTTGAAATAGTAATAGCTCATGATGGTAAAAACATATATATGCAAATTAATGGAAATGAAAAGAGATATGTACCTTTAACTTTGTCAAAGACAATAATTACATCAAGAACTGACATATTCTTAGGAGCTATACGCGATGATATGAGAGTAAATAACTTTATTTAAAAGAAAAAATCTGTTTCATATATGAAATTCACAATTTTTTATAATAGGGGAAGATATGTTCTAACTGTGTAGACATACCACAAATAAGTTTTACTCTTGGATATCTCAACATAAATGGAAAAGAAATAGATCTTATATCATTACCAGTTCTAGAAATAAGTAGCAACCGATTTTCTAGCCGTACTATTAGTATATCTGGTAATAATTCTTAATATAGTATTATAAAGATATCTAAAACTCAATAATATAATTCCACATAATAATATTTTAGATTATTATGAAGAAATACCATTACTCTTAGGTCAAGAACTTAAATTATCATGTGTCTATAATACAATTCCTCTTGAAAAAGAACACACATTTTCTAAACAGACATATGTTCTATGGTTGATAATGGATAAATTATTAAAATCTTATGGAAACAAGTAAATATGTCAAATTCACTATTGTACTTTTTATATTGATTTTGTAATATTTAATTTTCCATCAAGCAATGATTTTTTCAATCTGAAAGATGATGGACGAGTTAGTACCGTTAGTATTGCAAGCTATATAACTCGTGATACAATAGAAAACTTTTATTCGTGTCATATTTATCATCCTAGAAATAAAACAAATAAAGATTTAGGTCCAACTCTCTTTACATTTGGTATTACTGTGATGAACAAAAGTGAAGGTAATACAGTCGTTTTTAAATAAAATAATTTATTTATGTTTTGTAAAAAACTTTGATCTCTTAGAATTTGAAAGTACAATTTGGAAACAATGGAGTCTTATCTGTAAAGTTGTGATCATGTGTTTCATATTCTTGATAATTTGGTGTTTATTAGAAATATTTCAGGATGCTCGAAATGGGTAATTAATTAATGAACTATTTTACAAAACTAGAAGTTAGAACTGAAATAAAATAAAGCATATGATATTTTAGGCATGGTTTTTATAGACTTCCACAAATGCTTAACATCAATCCCACATCCACTATAAATTTCATCTTATCTAAGAATGGTGTAACATTACTTGGTAGTCAGCAAGCTGCAAATGAAGTTGTATCAAGAATTTTAGAAGATAACTGAGCTTTTTAATTAGATAAAGGACAAGAAATAATATTAATAATATAATTAACATATTAGTACACTAATAACTTATTTTGTAATACAGAATTTATAAAAAACAGAAGTATTAATTAGTGAATTAATAAAATTCCCATATTCTTTTAATGTTATTACAAAATACATTTATATAAATTTCTAATTGTAACAGTAGACATAACTACTTTCAAGAATATTGAAGGTAATATCAATATTCTCTAAGTCACAGTAGTATGAAATAATACGACTTTTGTAGGAAAATATTTAGAAGCTACAAATTAATATAAAAAATATATTTATACAAGTATTGTCTTACAGTGATGGCAGCTTATATTTACAGTTTAAAGACAATACAGCAAAAAATGTTGCAAGTGTCAATTATTTAATATAAGACAAAACAGCCAATATATGAATCTTTACCAAAAAATCATAAATTTATTTCACGCTTTGTATTGTTTACGTGAATTGATGTTCGTTCAGGTAATTCCGAATAAATGCTGTTTTATAATAAAACAAGGCAAGCAAGTACCCCTGTTAACATAACATTAAAATTTACAATAATATTAAAAAATATAAGATAATATATAAATACATTACACAGGACGTATAGCTACATCTTTTTTTATATTTCAACTAATTATGAGAATATAATTATTCAATTTGTTTCTCAGGATTCACTATTACCATTACTAATCACAGAGGAATGTTGTGTTAATTGAGACAATTCAATATGCAATTTTGCATCTTCATCTATACTGAGTTAGTAACTCCTCAGTTAGTTATTAGCTATTTCATAATTTAATAATGGTGGCTTTGCTTTAATGCCTAATGTTGTAGGTCTTTTACTAGGATTTTCATCTAACATCATGTTCAACAAATTGTACTAAAAATAAGATGTTTGCAATTGATATATTTTAGCCAAAACAGAAATTAAGATTATTTAAGGATAGACTATATGATTTCCTTACCTCGGCCGGATAATCGTTACTGAAATCTTTTGGAAACACTGACTTTCTTAAGTTTATAAGGGCAACAATTCTTTCCATTTCAGTAACAAATGGAATGAGGAGTTCAAATAAAATAATTCCTAAAGAATAGATATCGACCTTATAATTATAGCCCTGACCATTTATTTGTTCAGGAGACATATAAAGATGAGTACCGACATATGCGGTATGTAAATTATTTCTAAATGTAACGTCTTCGTTCTCTGAAGGAGTATGAGCTTCATTGTAACCTTCTGTTATTGCAGTTACAAGGCCAAAATCTCCAACTTTTATTTTATTATCGAAAGAGAAAAATATATTTGAAGGCTGAAATTCATTTCGTTTAAGACAACAATTTTTACTTTCGCGGAATAAAATATTATTTCAGATTACCTTCAAATCACGATGAATAAGTCCTTGTAAGTGAACATATTCCACAGCATCAACTATTTGCTGAAATATGTTTAATACACGACGATAATCTCGTATTGACTGCATTTTTAGCCATTCTCTGAGACTTAACCTTTGGCACAATTGCATTTGTATGTAAAGGAACATTTTTGGAGATTTACGTGTATTCGACTTATTATTCAGATCTAAAGAAAATGATCTTTGGCGTTTTTTCTTCACTTCTTTTCCTGGCACTCTACTGCCAGTGTCTTTGAATATAATGCTTTCAGAATATGAACGATTAGTAGCTTTTGACTTTACTTTTTCAACTCTGTTACTGGAATGAGATGAACTAGAACTCTTAGTAGTAGAGTTACTGATACTAACAAGATTTTCATCCTGACTTTCTGATTGGGATTTTACAAACACAATAAAGGAATCGTCATTCGAATCATTATTCAATTCATAGGCCTCACAAGCACTATCTATCGATGATTGATCAGTCTGACTGACATTAATGCAAACAGAATTATTCATTTTTGTTTCCGTATGAATTTCTTCTGAAGTAAAATCTAAGTTTGGCGATGTAATCTTGTTTATCCACTGAGGATCATGTTTTTCTTGCCATCCTAAGGGTGGACACTCGAGCCATGCATTAAAGTACCTTACAATATTTTGATGATCCAATTTAGCCAATGCTTTTACTTCTCGCATTACACGTTCTCTTGAATATGTACTGTTGAACAAAACAAAGGAAGAGCTTGTAAATTTGGTTGTACTTATTTTTCATGTTTGACTGTACTGTATCAAATCGCACTGTAGAATTTTATACCTGTTTGGTAGAGCAATCCTTTTAATAGCATAATTGCAATCATCTATTTTATTTTTTGCCTCAAAAACAACACCATAACCACCTTTTCCCAAACAATCCACTGGTTCAAAATCTGTGAGATAACGTGATTTAAAATTATCGATTTCCTTTTCATCAGTAGGTTGGTTATTTTTATTTGTCTCTATATGTCTTTCAACTATTAAAGGCTAAAATTCCATATAAATATAAATATTTTTAATTCATGTTCAAGATCAATATTTTTAAACTTTATAATATTAAAAAGATTTATAATATTCTTTACCGGAAACGCTGCATCTTTAGCAACTGTTGTAGCATTTAATAGACGTTGTGTCAACATAAAATTTAATAAAATCGCAGTAGTAATAGATATTATTAAAACTTCCTTCCTAATGAAAAGATTTTAGGTTAAGAATTAATATTTTATACCTTTTTTATTTCATTTTACATACCACCAATACCATAATGATACAATGATAATTTGAACAGGAGTATCCTCATCCTCTCCTTGAGTATTATTTTCCTTAAACGATTTCCGTTCTTCTTTGATAACCATCAAATTTGAAGTAGTATGATTACATTGTTTGTTATTGTCCAATTCTAACTGATCTGTTGAATACAAATAAAATCCATTTCCTAAAAAAAATTTGTATCAAAGAAATTAATGCCAAATGTTGAAAGTATGAGTCTGTTTTTTACTATTAACAAAATCTTAATATTTTATATGTATATACCATTTACATATTCCGAATTATATAAAACTGATAATGCAGTGATGCTTTGGGCATCAGTTATTTCAAATAATACATCATCTTCCTTATTATTGTTTATTGAATGATCTGGAAGAGCTTGTTTAATTACATTATCTGAGATATATTATGTTCTACCATAATATTATATTTGTAGACATATTTAATGAAGGATAAAACCAAGCTCTCATACCAATAGCAGGGTGAGGTTGCCATGGATATTTCGTATGCTGCATATACCTTGGTGATGCATCTAATGATTTATAGAGTTCTGTATTTTCTTGTACATATAACTGCCTGTTGTGCATGCCCAAATAAAGTGCTGGACTAGCTGAAAAATCTGTACTCCAAAATCGTTGTGTACTATCAAATAAATTAATTTCCTTCAAATTTTTATACTCATTGCCTTTTGTACTTGCATCTTCACGCCATATAGTAACAACTGGAGAATCAAACTAACAATACCAATATATGTAATCAGTACAGCTTAGCAAATATATTTTATTCCTATAATTAATTAAATTACCTTATATTGCCACAATTTCACGGTAGGGTCATTCTTATTAACAGCCCAAACCAAACCATCAGGTACAATAACTTTAATTTCAATATCTAAACTATGAGGTGTTACTTTATTTTGGCAATACATATCAGAATAAGGAACAAGTACTAGGTCATGTTGCCCTACACTGAAGTTCCATCTATTCCAATGTAAATTCATTTAATATAATATTTTTCATTAACAACATTTAATGAATTTTATATTTTATGAAATTTACCTCTCAATACCAGTACGAGGTTCAACTGCTCTTACAGTTTGTTGAAATCTTTGAACAATGATCACTTCTTGTTTGATATATGTTTCTCCATCTGTGATGTTAATACAACCAGTGATACCACATTCATATAAAATTTTCCCTGTTATGCTTGAAACACCTAGTAAGAATACATATTTAATTTTTCTCTTCTATGTTTTATATATTACTAATTATTTATTTATAGATATATATTAGCAATATTTACCATATGATTTTACTTCTCTACCACCCGAGAATATTAAATCATCAGAGTAACGGAAAGATGAATGCAACAACTGGCTTGCAGATACTGGTACTGCTTCTAAACTTTCTTCATCAAATTGATACAATCCACCACTTAAAGATGGAATTAGACGAACCCATTTTCCATTATTATTAAGCTATAACAAAAAGAAAGTTTAATATTTCTCCATAAAATTAAAAATGTAAAATATATTCAATATTTATTTACTTCTCTATGATGAATATTTGATGATAGCATAGGTTCATTAAATTCTAATGTCCATTGTTTCTCCCCAAGATTGTTAGCATCTAAAGCAGATATCTTCCCATCCAACGTACTTACAAATAATAAACTGCAAAAAAGATATAAAAAAATTATATTTTATTACATTGAAAACATAATATGATGCTTTATCTACAAATATAATAAAATAAAATAAAAATAAAATTATGTAATAGAATGTAGTACAATATTCAGAATATAATTCTCCTTTATATAACATAAAATTCTCTTTTTTGATTGATTGTGTTTATTTTACATGACATATTTTACAAAGTTTCAATAATTAATAAAAATAATAATTTATTTCATAAATAAAATATTTTTAAAAGTGATACAGTAAAGTATAATAAAACTTCTACGTCTTCTTACAAGTGTAAAAAGTAATTCGCAGTAAAATTTCATGGTATCTAATAAGCATATACATTTTTTAATCATTTCAGGTATTTGTTCATACAAACACTCCATAATATAATAAATACCTTAATGGGCTGGTGTACAACAATTGAACGGTGTTATCATTCATTTTGATTCAAGTAATGTTGGTCAAATTATAAATATGCGTAACAGGTACATTGAATTCAACATTAAATATGTGCACAAAGCAATTTGTATTTATTTACCTGCGAGATGATTTCTGTTCACAAAACGTTAACTGTTTGATATCGCCGCTATCGATGAATGGAAATCTGAATGAAATTATACATAACAAATGAAGTGTTAGTCTCCATAAGTGTGTAAAAGACATCTTTTAAGTTCGAAGCGATTGATTAACTAAACACATTTTGCTCTGACATTTACGCTAAAATATAATACGTATAATATTTTTATCGAATATTACGATAAAAATAAGCCAGATATTGCTCGTTCAACATACAACAACGAATCATGGTAAACTGATAAATCGCAAAAAACATAAGTTCTAGCGCCATCTCACCTGTGCATACGTGCAAAATAACATACAAGAGAAATAGCATACGATTAAATATTTTAAAATATTGTTTACATCTTCAATTACGTTATTTATAAGTAATAATAATGATATAAATGAATGAATTAAAGAGTGATATGAATTCAAAGAAAAAGAGACTGGAAGAGATTTAAAGAGATTAACAGAGAAGAATATATATATTTAGAAATACCTCACATCAATCAGCAAAACATATAATGTACAAATGCATTTGCAAAACTATTAATCAGTCAATAATATAATTTATAACGATATAAAATAATCTTTCTTATTAAACAACATGAATTTAAGGGATTTAAAAGGTACATAATATGAATTGTATTACAAATGTTCTATAAAGATTACAATTTAATAAAATTAAGAGATTAAAAAAAATTTTCTCTAAAACGCAATTATATACATGTTGCATAAAGAAAATTGTATAGTATTTTAAGATATAAAAATATAGAGTACAGAATATTTTTTTATTAATCTTTTTCTTTTTTTAAATATAACATTTTCAATTTAATAATTTAAGTTCCATTTATTTAAAAATTTTCTAGATTTCATATAATATAAGAATAGTTAGTTCTTCTTTCATAAAAAAAATTTAAAAAGGCTATAGAGATAACAAAAACGAATAGTTTTTTTAATATAATATTTTTAATTTAATAATTCAAAATCCATTTATTCCAAAATTTTCTAGACTTCATATAACGTAGTATAACAATACCTTTTAATTAATTATTTAATTTACATATGTAAATAATTTTCTGTAAGTTTATCAGATATCAAATTCCGTATTTATAATTAAATATTTTGTAATGTCCATTACTGGCAAAATTTAAAAAAGCCATATCTATAAAGGAGACTAGAAATCAATATTCATAATGAATAAAAGAAGATGATCCACTAAAGCGAATAATAAAAAGAAATAATAATTAAAAAGAAATAATCAAATAAATCATTTTCTTGCTCGTGTTTTTCAGCGATGATTTCGAATACTTCTGTAATATGTCGATAGGTGACAGTGTATGTCGACGTTGAATAGGCTACTATACTTTTTCTACATTACTGGTGATTATGGCGAAGTTTGCCAAATGGATGTGAAGTGTCTCGTAAAGAATATCATTGGCGATTTTATCAAATAATCTTTATCGAGGTAAGAACAAGTGACGCGTAGAATTCTAATTCTAATTCGGTGACGTTGACGAATTATTATAAGAATGATAAGTGGTAAAAATGTTTGATTGTTTCATATGAATTGCGAGTCAATATTTGTTCTTTCCTCCAGCCATACCTGAAAGTACAATAATAGACTTGGCTGGAACCTGCAGCCTGATTAAATAAATAGTATTGTCTGTCTCTTGAACTGCTCTACCAGCAGTAACCCAACTACCATCCCGTCCGGCGCAAATAGATCAAATCAGATCTACAACCAAATTTTTTTCATCTTTTATTAACAGTTTTGGACACATAACCTTCTTAAGGCGGTGCATTGTGCATTTGAAGGTTCAATTTTCTTATATTCTAATTTAATTATTTTCTTTTTCTTTCAGTAAAGATATATGTATATGATTAGAAGATGGTATAGAAAAATATAGTATTCTTGTACCTACTTTATGTAACTTTTTGTTCATAGTTATGGATGTTTATTTTATTTTAAGATAGCTTTGTTTGTGTAATTTATGGTCTTATGATTATATCATAAATAGAGAGCGGATTTTTATGCATTTATGTATATTGAAATTTGAAGATGCAAAAATATACAGAATATATAATATATCTACAGTAAAATACTTGTTATAGCTTTAAATAAAGAAAATAAATCTTTATTAATTGTATTCATAAAAATATAAATTTGCATAGAAATCCACAGTCTAATTATAAATTTCATTTTCTGCTTAATCGTTATGTTTGGAAATTTTGGAATTTTGCAAATTATGTTGAACAAATAATAATTATTAAATTTGTGTAATTCTATATGTATGATAATGTAACCATTGTAAAATATGAAATGTTATTTTAAAAGATTGTGCAATTTTGGTTTACAGTATATAAAACATGGAGGGCCAACAATTTTGTTTACGATGGCACAATTTTCAAAATACATTGTTGAGTTCTCTTCCTAAACTGCTTGATGGTGGTTATTTAACAGATGTCACATTAAGTGCTGGTGGTAGACACATACATGCACATAAAATTATCCTTTCTGCTTGTAGTTACTACTTTAAAGAATTATTTAAGGTATTAGATGCATTTTTTAAATTGCTAAACATTTTCTTTTTTTACCTTTTGTTTTTTTGTTAAATTTAATCAACAAAAATTATATGAATCAACTTTTAGGATTTAAGTTCTTTGCAACATCCTGTAATTGTATTACCAGGAATGGAATATGCAAATTTATGTGCACTTGTCACATTTATGTATAATGGTGAAGTAAATATTTATCAAGAGCAATTACCTGCACTTTTGGCTATGGCAGATACTTTACATATTCGTGGATTAGCTGATATAGCTGGGGTAAGGAAATTCATCTACGTTTTTGATTAATATAGTAAAAATACAAAGCAATGGTTACACAAAACATTTTGGATTGGTAAGTTTGTACTGTAGTTAATATTGCGCTGTAAGAATTTCTTAATGTACACATATAAATTTTTTTTCTGAATGCATATTTTGAACTTTGAAAATTTATATTCTTCTCTATTTTTCTTTCACGACTGTTCTACCAAACCTCTTATATTAATGCTTTATACATCAAGTAGCATGACTGCATTTTAAATGTAATTTTTATGCAATTAACTGTTCTTAAAGTGTAGAAAAATGTGGTAATATATGAATAGTAAAATTTGATGATTAATTTTCAGTTGGATACAAAATTCTTATCTTAAAATTTAAAACTGTGAATAGAATTTAGCTTTTGTCAAATTAATTTAGAAATGTTAATAGCACTATGTGCAGCTGGTTCTTAAACAAATGTTACTCACTAATTGTTATTAAATCTTATTAAATTAATTATTGTTTATTAATTACATAATAGGGACAGGTAATAGTATTATTTGATAAATCATTATTCCTTATCTGGTGAAGCTTGTCTCAGTGTGAATTGTAAAAAACATACATAACAAAGCATGTATCTTCTTCAGTGCCTTAAACATTAGCAATTCCTTGCTGATAATTGTAATTTCCTTGTAACCTGTTTTCCAAAAACATGTAGACTTATTTATATATTGACAAAATTACACTTTCACTTATAATAATTATGTCAATATTAATGACTTGTTGATTGAATTTGTTCAAATATTCAGTAAGTGCAATTATTTAATACTTGTTAATTTAATATAATGCTCAACAAAATGATTTTTATGCTCATTGGTATTTTTCAAAGATCATATTATTTTATAAAGCAAAAATTTTTGTTCAAAGGATGTCTATCATTTCTATTTAATTTAATTAAAGTTGATTGTTTCATCATTTACTATATAATATGGTACATTCACACATATAATAAACATAAACAACTTAACATTGCAAAAATAATACATAGACATTAATAAAATACCTCTTCCTTTATACAGAATTGCAACAGAGTAATTTCTAAAGCTAGTTGCATATTCGCTTTTCCCTTCTTTAATCTTTATATTACCCTCTGATCGTGTTGTTTTGTTCAGGTCACTTAAATACATTCACTGTCGTTCCTCAAGAAGTATCACACGAAGGAATTACCTACTACACATATTATGTTCATGCGTGCATCGAAGGAACGATAATGAATATAAACGATATCCACGAGATCAAGATCGTTGTGTGTGTTGCAACTAAATGCAAGTGGATGCATCCCATGGAACCTTTCCCCATAGAATGAGTTTACAGGTATAAAATAGCTTTATCCAAAAATCTCTCTACATGACTAAAACTTTCAGTAGATATATTAGAACAGTTAAATCTCTTTTCTACATATTGTGTATCTTTTTTTGCATTAAAATAATGCTTCATATTTTAGTCAAGGGTGATTATAACAAAAATTTAGAATTAATAAATTTAGAATTAATGTATAAATACTTAACAGTCCTATTTTCTATACAAGAAAAAAAAAATACAAGTGAATAAAGAAAGCAGTGCATGAAAATTGTTCTACAGAATAACTTACTGCAAAAATAAAATTGTAAAGATGTGTTTGAATAATTAAAAAATTAAATTTCAATTCTTTCTTGTAATTAAAAGATCTTTAATCTTAGAGGCTAGGTAGAACAGGAATATTTTGGAATACTTGATAAAACGTAAAAGTGTAATTATATGAAAGATAAAGGGAATTCAAATATATTAATTCAATTTTAATATTCTAATTTTTTTACAATTACGATACATTCTTCCCCTGGCTTTTTTTTACAGAAAAATTCGAGACACGATAATGGTTTATACGTTCAACCTTCACCAACGCAACTGCAGGAAAAAACATCAGCCGAAACGCCGATAAAAAAAGAAAATAAAGACAGTGTCATAAGCGGTGGAGAACCTTTAGAAACGGTTCTAGATACAGATGTAGCTGAGAACATGGAAGAACCCTTCAATGATCAAGAAAGTATATCTTATTGTGTGAAGACTAAGCCTTACTACTCCATTAATGCGAAGTTAAATCAAAGAGAAAAAGTCAGTATTCCTTCCATTAATGCTTCTACCAACAAATATGCTGAGAAAGCATATTCGGAAGCTGGAATAGATGAGAGCACACCTGTTTTAGAAGATCAAATTACTCCTGTGGAAGATATAAAGCCTCCTCCTGTTTGGGATGCGAATTTCAAGTTTTTGACAACGTCTGTGGGCAGTAGAACTTCTCAGAATTATAATAAATCTAGTGTCACTTGTCTTATTTGTGGAAAACAATTAAGTAATCAATATAATTTGCGGGTACATATGGAGACACACAGTAACAGTTCGTACAGCTGTACAGCTTGTTCACACGTATCAAGATCACGAGACGCGCTTAGAAAACATGTTTCTTATAGACATCCAGTTGCGTCGTCACAAAAACGTTCACGATATAGTACACCGAAATCATAGAAACTAGATACCTTGGTTTATATTATACCCTTTGTTTTAGACACATCTTATTTAAAACATAAATTTTGTGCTATTTAATTTGACTTAAATACTTTATTGACTAAAAAACTAAAAAAAAAAGGAGGAGAAGAAAATGGTTATAAATCAAAAGTTGAAGATTTAGTTACACATTTCTTGATTTTTTTTGTTATTTATTGTTAGATATGTTTATATCTTTTAATAGATTTATAATTTGAAAGAAGGTTGAATCAATATGAAAGTATTGATTTTTTATTGTAAAATTATTAAAATGCTTCCTTGTTTAAGTGGTACATACTCTGTACAATTGTTTATTTAGTTGAAAGGTGTCCATTATAGCGTGTAATGGATTAAAATGAAGATACATAAAGACTACTTTCCAACTTATATGATCCCTTTTAACTATTTCTTTCTTTTTTTTTTTGGATTTAATACTTAAATGTTGCAATTGAATATAAGAATTGAATATTTTATTATATGAAAATACATTAGGAAAGGATTTAATATGAGAAACTTACGTACCTCATCTTTTTAAGAAATATTCAGTACTAGACTGATTAAGAATAAGGCAAGTAAGATCTTGATTATGTTGTTTTTAAATGTACAAATAACTTAAAGCGTGATGACGTTCCTCGAAACCCTTAGTGTTCGAATTGTTACTGTTTTCTTGTTATCGTTACACTGTTTTAATAAAGACAAAGTAGATGTTAGACAGACATTTTCTGTTTTGATGATTTTTTTTCATAATTAATACTTTTTACAAATCATCCAGTAAAAATCGATGAATCAGAAAAAAGGGCATGTTTCCTTCATTACATTGTAAATATTTAAAAAATACCTGTCGTATAAAAAACTGTTGTTTATAATTCACACTGGCGCAAAAATGTAAAGAGATATTGTTGCAATTTCGTTTGTATATAGTATGTACTTGTTTTGATTATTTCAATATACCGAATGTAAATGATTGTAATATAGACTAATCAATCTTATTTGAAAAGTCGTATTCAAAAATAATATACAATATTATTCAATGACTACAAAATAAATAAAATGCATTCAAAAAATTAAGCTCTTTTAGAAAGGAAAAACAACATATCTTCAGAAAAACATTAATTAAATCTTTTCTATACGCCATATTTTAGTATTACAGTCCTGCCCGACTGAAATCAATGTTTCCTCATCTAACCAAACTAAACGTGTTATTTGACTTTGAGGATGAGCATCTGAAACAAAATTGTTTTTTACAATCGCATACATTTTCTTCCATTGAGATAAAGTATGACAAGTGTAGAAATAAAATAACATTACAAAAAAACGGAGATTATATATGTATACTTACTTTTAATAATAGTATGTTTTGCTGGATTTGTTACGCTCCAAATGATGATCGTCGTATCAAGACTACCGCTTGCAACCATAGCTGAATTAGGACACCATGCTACAGAATTCACTCTTGCGTTATGGAAACCCCACTCCCTATTGTGCGCAAGCTGTAAAGTTATATTTCGTTAATAATTTTTTAATTAAATTACGATCAGACAACATTTATTTCCAAGCGAAAAGCTTTACTCACCCTCTAAAAATCCAACAAGCGTTTAGGAGGAGCAATTGTTACAAAAAAATTAATGTAAATACATATAATATAGCAATCACAATATTTTGCTAATGGTAAATATTAATTACAATATATGCGTTCAAAGCGTGAGATATATTAATAATCTACTAAGTGATGAAGGTTAAATGGGAAAACAGGCAACACCTTTTCTGCAACTTTGTACAAGCGACATGTATGAATTTCAAAGATATTTGAGGTTTGTATAAATTATATAAAACAAACACTTCTTTTTTTACCTTGTATTCTGGTACAGTATAAAGAACCACCTTTCGGTTTGTGTCACAAGCAACCAAGTATTTGCTATCAGGACTATAAGCAGCGTCTGTAACTGTACCTAAATGTTCTAATTCCATTTTCGGAGTTAGATTCGTACCTGATAAGGTATATATACGAATCTGAAAATTACATAAGAAATCAATGCACTATATTTTCTACTATTTTACTAACTTTTACGAAATTATATATAAATTAAAAAAAAATATACCATATTGTCTGATGTCGCTCCTATAGCTACATCACCATTTTCTTGATTAATTGACACACAAGATGGTTCGTAATCGATTGATGTATTTGATACCTTTCGTCCATCTTGTGTAACTGTTATCTAGAATATACACCTACTGTTAATTTAACTAGTTTTTAAATTAAAATAAAATGAAATGATAATCTTACCTGGCGAACGGTTGCAATTACAGCTAGATCTGTGTAAATATCTAGACCCCGCGGCTGCGAGTCCAGTTTAACTATAGCTGTATCTGTATACGTGTTTGTATCAATATCAACCGATCTTAAAGTATCATCGATACCAGCGGTATAAAGCAAATTTTTTGTAGCTTTCATTCCATTAATTTGATTTCCATGCCCGTGACCTTGGACACGGTCATTATCTCCCGTTTTTGCATTCCAGTTGGTAATATACCCATCATGAGATCCAGTATAAATTGTACCTCTATCAGGACTCAAAGTTAATACTGTTATTGGTTTATTATGGCCCTAGAAGTGTCCAAAAATTAAAAATTCATCCTATAAAAGCATTCTTACTATGGGTACTATTGTTACCTTTATTATTCTAAGAGGTTTCGTTGGATTAGCAACATCCAGATAATTAATAAAGCCACTTAGAGATACAGATAGTAAATGTTTGTCTTGCCAAAGGCAACTGACCTAAAAGAAAATTGATCTTATTACCGATTTTACTTTTATTTTTTCAAAATCGCTATCGATTGTTTGTTGTATCGCAAAATTAAAGGATTACATACTTGTTGATCATCAACTGTCGATCCCATATTGAATTCACTAACCAATGAGCGAGTTTCTACGTCCCAAAGTTTACACGTTTTATCACCAGATGCAGTTAATAACTGCGTTCCATCTGGCTTCCAAGCCACCTGTGAGATTATGAAGAAATGTTAAAAATGAGTACATCATTATCTTTAGAATAATTTGGCATTAAATGATTTCATTTATTTACTCCGTATACTCCGCCTTGGTGAGCTGGAGATCCTACTTCTCCAACTAAATCGGAGCTTGTACCATCATAAATAAATACTTTCCCGTCAAATCCTGCAGATGCAAATAAATTACCACTAGGCGAATAACGTACAGCTTGAACGAATCGAGTATGCTCCTGCTTGGTCATTCTGCATATATCATAAATTTATTATTTAAATAAAAATTTCAAAATTTTCATATCTCAAATACATAAAGTTTTTATTTAAGATTTGCGGGTGACGAAGCTGATTGTTAATAAAATGTTTCTTTTTACAAAGACGTTGCTTATACTCGGAAATCTTACATACAAAACTTATTATTACCAATTTATATTAAACCATTTAACTTTCATATACATACTTAAATTTAAATGGCGGTCCTTCAAAAACAGCAATAGTATTGTCCTCACTTCCTGTGATTAATCTAAATGGTCTAGCAGGTCTGAAGTCACATGAATTAATAGGCTTACTCTGGCCTGAGATTTCACCTACAGATGTACCGGTTTCCGCCATAAATACATGACCAAATCTAAATTTATATATAAAAATAAAGTTGTTACTAAAATTAAAACCATACTAGAGCTATAAATTATTTACCTTTCTCTTCCTTCTCCAACAACTACCATACGCTGATTATCAGGTGACCATGCTATGTCTTTAATAGGCCCTCCAATAGGATGGAATTCATTTTTTAAAATATGTTCTTTATTGACAGTGTCCCAAATACGTACTTTGCCTGATTGATCTATTATAAAAAATCATATAAAGTTTTAAGTCTATATTGGGTTCTTATATATATTATCTTTTTATAAATAGTTATCTATGATTGTACATACCACCTGATGCTATATAAAACCCACTTGGGGAATATTTTGCAACATTGACTGGACATGAATGTTCTGTATAAATATCTGCAATAGCTGGATTCTAAAAATAAAAAATGAATAAGATAACATTGCATTTTAGTATTTCATATAGGACTTGAATATATTATTTTATATATTATACTTACATCAATATTTCTAATGATTACACTGTTACCATTAGTATACAAAAAATTTTTCCCTTTAGGATCACCTCCTAATACAAGAGGCTGTCCCCTTTGTGTCCTGGGTAGTGTAGCAAATATGTATTCTGCAAACATATGAAATTAAGACTAATATTTTAATATGAGACTAATATAAAAAAGGTCTTATAGCATGTTATTTGTAATAAGATCTGAAAATTGTATAATAGAATGCATTTTCTCATGAGAACTAAAATATACTTCCTTGATTCATTGGCATAAGTCCAATATGCAATATTTCAAATTATTTTAAGTATGAAAACTGTATCTTGGCCTAAAGTTATTGCTTGCTTTCTATATTCCCAAAAAAATCTACTTTTGGTCAAAAGTTAATTAATACAACCAAACATAATTAAAAAAGTTACATTAAAAATAATATAAAAATATAATTCAAATGCTTAAAACTATCCTCAAAATATTAAAATATATTTGTAGTCTTTGTTTAAAAATTACAACTTATAGTATTTCTTTTTGGAAATTTAATTATGTGTACAATTTATAATTAAGTTTCAATGTCAACATTTATTTTCATATTATAACCATTCATTTTTTCGTTCTATTTCATACTATACACCACAGTAAATTGAACTTGATCTGATAAGCTACAGTTATCGTAAGCATAATTACGCCAATTTAGATAGAAAAGCAAATATATTTAAAGCAAGAAATGCAAAACAACTACTTCATGATACGGTACAGTAAAACTGTACAAAATAAAAAATGAAAAATCCGGTGATTTAATGAATAATCAGTTCTGTATATATGGTTGTATCTGAAAAAAATTGATAATTAATTTAATTGCAATCAATCGTGACATTACATACATATGTGAATCATTGATGCACTTCAAGTGTTATGATTTGGCTCGAGATAAGACCGGAAAATTGGATAGCTCGATATTCACACAAAATACAGGGTAATAAGTTGTCGGTGATACACGAAAAATAGGTAAAATCTGTAGGTGTCACTTACTTGTTTCATAGGACATTTTTATTCCGTTTCTTTCTTTTAAATAATACTTGAAAAAACTCAACAATGGGAATCGGTTCAATGCCTCCCTCGTATCTTTCTCTGTCTCCCCCCCCACACACTTTCCATCGAAATGCTTGTTCCGCCCTTGCCTTATTTAGCTGAAGCATTGATAATACTGAAACAAGATCGGCGAATAACTATACAGCTGACGTCGCTAAAGCCCCGTTTCCATATTGATAAAAAATTCTGTCGTCAACAAAATAGTTGTTATCAATAGGTAAAAAATCAACAGAAACAATTTAAATTTCATTTAATCATTTATTATAAGAAATAAAATGTTTTAAAATGACGATGAAGGAAATGAACTTTTCTCAAATTAAATATCACATTTTATTTTAAATCATCTGTAGCTTAAAAATATTTATAATGACAAACTATCTCTCTCACTTTAATATTAATCTTACCACATCTTACAAATATTTATGAGCAGTTTTATACAAAATCTAGACTACATATTTGTATAACATATGGGCTCATCATCCTAAAATAAATTCTAATATTGTGCTCTATGCAAATATAAATCTCGAAATTGCACATTATGTACAAAATTTTCATAAAATATAAAATACCAAAACTCAAATTATATATTTACAAATCGCCACTTTCACCATTTTCGAAATTTATTACACGACTGCAATAAATATAATATTTTAACGAACGCAAATATTATTGTATACAAAAAAATATATTTCATTATATTATGACTTTTGTACGTATATTCACTCAGCATGAAAAATAATAAATTTTCAGCGAGGTAAGTTCCCTTATGCCACAAAGATATGTACCTTAAAAGCAAACAAAACAACTGAAAATCTAATTGAGACTTGGAAATATCTCAAATAACAAAAAGAACTGGTCTATTTTCATGCTTATTTGAATAGTGTGTGAAATTATAAATGAAATCAATGTAAAAATAAATGATACTTTTATAGATGATGAAATAAATAATAAATTAATGGAAAACTGTGTGATTAACAACATTCATGGTCGACATTATTTACGTATAAAAGAGTGTGCAGAAATATAAAAAAAGAGGAGTACATATACTAATTTGAAGTACTTATTAATATACTTATTTAAGGTTGAAAACTACGAACGATTCAACCGTCGACCAATCGTCAATTAACTTCCTAAATATTACATTCTGTAGTAAATGTTTTTAGAAGTTGGTATGATCATTAACACGAAACATATGAATACCATTATCAAAAGCAGTCTTTTCAAACTCATCGCTATTAAGCTTTACGAGATTATTATCTAAGAATGTGCACATAAACAATTAAAATTATCGAAAAGTATCACTCTCCATTCATTCTCTTACATGCAATAAATTGTTCAAAACGACTAAATGATTGAAATATTAACTCTTCATCAAGAAATAATCTTCAATTATAATCTATAACAAACAACTATCTCTTTTATGAAAGACCAGTTTTTCATAACTACAAGAAATAACCACGACAGCTCTGAATATAGAAACTGAATAGAATATAAATTGACCCAAATTCTTGCAAATGTGTCTTCATTATACCTACCGAAGATATTATTTTCCATATAAGACTTTCAACATCTCAAAGTAAATTTCATTCTGAGACTACAGATTTTTATGCAAATTCATATTTTTGAGAATATAATAAAAAACGAAAACTTCAATGAAAATATCGTTTTATCTGCCAAGTATTAGGTCGTCCGAAAAGTTCCTTTTGTTTTATAAGGAAATAATGGATGCACAACATTTTCCGTTTTATATTATTTTATCGAATTACGTATGATCTATTTTGTTCTATCAAAATAAAGATCACAACGTTCGACAGATTAGGTTTCATGTTTGTATAAAGATGTATCGTTGTAAAAGACGTGTCTGTAAAAGAAAGACACTTTTCTGACAATCTAATATTATAGAGAGCACTACTATACTTTGTATATTTTATATATTTTTTCATATTTTGAGTGCATTCTGTGCAATTTCCTATAAATGCATAAAAATCTGCAGTTTATTCATTACCTCTTCCTATACCTTCCAATTAGTTTTAACTTTCTGAAGAACAAACATAATTTCTTATTCTGTCATTACTTCTAACAACATTCAACAAATTTTATAGCCGCCTACATGACGAGGCTCTTCGACTCTTTATCGCCAGTCCAAACTCTTCTTGTTCAATGGTGCCGTATCTTACGCTTTGCAGTTACTTCTTGAAGTAATCGTCTCTTAAATGGTGAATGACTACTTCGGAATCGAGTAGATTCCTCTTGAGACTGTCGATGACTATTGGCTTCCGCGAATGAGTTTCCTTTCAATTGTTTCTCATAGAATTCACTATCAGTTTTAATTTCCTCGACTGAAGGTACTCTGGAGCGCCTGAATTCTTCCATATCTTCATCGCGAGGTAGAGGACGCGTTGTGTCTTCCGGAACTGGTCGACCATCCGGATACACTCTAATCACCATTGGTCCAACTAGATATGGACCAGTGTGCTCAGAGGATGGTTGTATATAATCGTGTGTTGCCATTGTTTCTTCTCCTATGCCGTTTACATCGCTATCACCGACAGCTGAAAGATAAGAACAATAAATATATGATTTCTTTAAAATTAGGAACCGATTACAAATGGTTCTATGAAAAAAGTAAGAATAATGAATACGTTTAGAATAGCAAAATTATTTTAGATAATTCATTTTCGCTTGATATGAATCAGGATTCTCAAATTGCTTAAAAAGATCAGTTATGTGTCTTCTGCGATTATACTTTTAAATTTCCCTTCGTAATTTCTCTATATGATTCGATATGAAGAAAGAGATTCCCATAATGGCCTTTAGTAACCTTTCAACTTGTATATTCTAACGATTTTTATAATTGTAAGCTATTTCTTAAAAGATTCGAGAGGAACTTATTGATCTTCTAAATAGTTCTATTAACAAAATTGATTAACTATTCTGTTTGTCTAAAAACTGCGTCAAAATTTTTTTAACATAATCAATAATCTTAAAGAAGAGAACGAATCTATCAATAATTTAAATAATCGAATTAATATTATTATAATATCAAATAATTAGTTAATATTAAATAATTGCTTAATCCGAATGAACATTGTGACTTAAGTAATTCATGTTCTTGTTGTTCACGTTAATAAATGAATGCAATCACGTAATAATACGTGACAAAAAAGTCATTCCTTTTTTCGCGTATATGACCTCCGCATTATGATAATTGAACGTCTAATATTTTTATGTCAGTATCCTATGATACTACTTCCTACTTCCGTCAGATCGTTGTCGAATGTTTCTTCTCCGCAAGGACTTTCGGAAGAGACGTGCAAGAATTTAAACGACTAAGAATTCCATCTCTCTCTGACATATTCAACCTAAACAGGCTTTAGGCGAATATTTCGTACATTCTTTTTCATAGAAAAATTATGATTTATGTTAAAACTTGTAGTTTCCTACTATATTAACTATTAAATTTAATTCAATAGATATATAGAATAAGACATAATTCGCAACATAATTGAAAAGAAAAATTATTTTAATAAAAAGTACTGACACATCCCTTATTTTCCTATGAAATGTTTTTCTTATTAGGTCCCACATGATATTATCATAGCATAACATTTTTATAAACGTGTAAAATTTAATATACTTGGATTTAATTAATTAGTTTGAAAATTATAATAAATACAATGATGTGCTATTACTTCTTGTAGCCATTGTAATATCATCTTTTTTACAATTATACTATCATTTTCAAAAAATTTACATCATAAACCTATATACACAATGATCTGGGCAATAGAAATTCAATAAAATCAATTAAAATATCAATCTGAAGTAGAAGGTCTTAAAGATCAATTAAAATAAATTTCCATCTAACATCTCTTCTAATTTCTTTTCTTTTATTCTTCTCTAAAATCTACGGGGGAAACTAGAACATCGAATGAGATTTCTCAGATCCTCGCAGTAAATAAACATTTTTCATAGCATTCAAAAAGCCTCCCCGAACTTCGGTTGACTCGTTCAGATGATCAGGTGAAAGTGCAGTTAAAAGAAGCTGGTCCAATTGAAAACAACCGTTCTGCTATCAAACGCGATCTCGTTCGGTTAAAGAAAAAAAAAACTTTCTATAGTGGAACGTGCGCGATTGAGACTTGGAACTTTCTCACAACAGTATTTGTTCTCCTTCATTTCGGATCGTGCAGATAATAATCTCTTTCAACGCTTACATTTCTTTTTAATCATTAACAAACGTCATGCGAACTTGATTTTCACGGTTAACATTTTTCTCGACTATTATGTAGTCGGTTCGAGTACAGGTTTTTTTCGTTCTTTTCTTTTTCCTTGTCAATTAGTACTTTCACCTGTATTAATGAACTTCATAAGGTAATTAGAAAATTAACAGGGGTCAAGAAAATGATTCTAGAATGTAATTGTGGAATGTTTTTCTACATGTCTTTAGACATCTTGTTTTAATTGAAAATATTTGTATTAATTAACTTTATGAGGCAATTAGAAAATTACAAAGGTCAAGAAAGTGATCCTAGAACGCAATTTTAAACTATTTTTATCTTTCAATCATCTTTACAAAATTTTATTTCTATCGTAAATACATACCTAATGAATCTGTTCCGATGGAGAAATAGAATTCATCTGGCTTAGGAGCAAGTCTCGGAAAATATGCGTTTTTTATCATGGCCCGCCAAACTATAAACAAGAAATAGTAAGTTAACGTAAATAGAATTAATTTTTAATATTATGTTCGGTTTATTCCATGTAGTGAAACTGGAAATCTTACTAAGTCCTTTCGCATCACGTTGATATGGATCCAATTGATCGAGTATGTTATTGTCCATGTTAGCTAAGTTCCGCATCCCGGCAACCAATAAATTTTTGTTGCAATCCGGCATGGATGAATCCGCACAATACTTGGCTACTTGCATGCTGAATACTCTTAACAAGTAACTCGCCTGAAATTAAACATTGTATAGGTTATCTTTAAAAAGAAATTTAAATAATCTCTTTCAATATTATATATATATTCGATGCAATATATATCGTTACTGACCAAATAAATATTATGTGACAAGAAGTAATTCTTCAGTAATGACTGCAAATATTTCGTTCAATTATATTTAAATATTATTTCCCGCCGAGTAACATCCTTAAATCCGATCTTTAAAATTCTCCCTTTCATTTCTAAGATATTATTATTAAAATATGGTTCAAATATAAAGCACTATGCATAATATAATATATACAATGAACAAATTCAAATATTGTATTATTAAAATATATAAGTCTTTAAGAATATATCTTTGCAACATCGATTTTCAATATTCTATTCTTTAGTGCCAATAAAACCCTTTTTTCCTCCTTTTATTTCACTACATTATCAATCAGAATACAATTCTGCGAGCTAATTTGCTTGGGTACTATCTACAGCATCATTTATGTCAAATCAAATATCAAATGAAACTATGAAGATCAATATATGAGCTGTTTATTTGCCAAAAAACAAATTATATAATATAAACATCAATCAAGTGCTTTAGTACTAAAATTTCAGGAAAGGGAGTTAATAACTTTGACCTGTGAATAGCTCATACATATCGTATACAGAAGATGGATACATTTTTCTCTGAGTAAATCATCATGACGATCATCGCGAAAGCTATTTTCCATTCCGTCGGAGCAAATGCATTCTACACGCGTCCGGTGAAACTCGGCAATGTGTAACATACAGGATATCGAACACTACAGTTATAACAAACAAATATATATGCGTGTCGCAGCCTGTACCGTACATCACGTATCGGGCTTTGATTGCGATACACACGTTTTTTTATTTTTCGTCACGAGAAATTCTGTCTGCCACGTGAAACATGCCCCCGTTCGTGGTGCGTCTACGTAAAGCACAATGATCGATGTCCACATACTTTTAGCTCTATCTATGGCTCAACGATTACGCGAATATTCAACCTTAGAATTTCTAATGACATTTCTGTAACGTCTTTTGGACAACAACAAAATATTTCGAAATTTAATAATAATGACAATCGATAAGTGTTGCCAATCAAACAGTGTTGGCAAGCTCACTTGCGTAACGATACAATTTCTTTCGTAGACATTTTTTGTAGTAATATTTTTGATGAATCAATCTTTTATAATTTTTGTCATTCATTATTTGTACAATTATATTGGGCGAATTATTTTATTTTTGGAACGTTATTTCTATATTTCAGAATTCGTATGTCTAGATTTTGAAATATTTAATTCTATGATTTGGAATACTTATTTCTGTTTCTTTTTTTTCATTTTTATTTTTATTTCATATATTCATATAAAGATAAATTCTGAAAATGAGAAATTTGTCTTAAAATAAAGTAATAATTTTTAACAATAATTACTTTCTCAATGAAATGTTTAAAAATATACTAATTTTGTGTTTGAGTTTATTTATTCATGCACATAGAAAAATGATACTTATAAAGAAGAAAATATTTTTATGTACGATATAGAACGTGATAAGTTTCAATCTCGACAAGTTGTGCTCGTTCGTACATCCATGTATTCCGATGCTGACCTACATAAATTTGCTGCGTGATCGATGGTGGATCATTGTGTTATTTTTTAAAAGATCTCGAAAATAAGAGAGTCTAAATGGACAGAGAATCGTTCGATAAAAAATTCCCGTGAACAGAAAATGAATACAGATGGTAATCTTTCTATATAAACATAAAGATTAGCAAATTTTCAGATTTTAAAAATGTTACATATATTGAAATATCTTAAGTTACAAGTATGAGTTACAAGTTCAATCTCTCCATAGATAGAGAGCACGTACTTGAACTTCAACTTACGTACAATCAGTTTTACCAACATATATTACGAACATATTACAGATATTGCGCATAAGGCTATTTTCACGCCTTTTTCTTTTACCAAGATTATCGCGTGTTTGGATGATTAAAGCTTTATTAAATTATTATATTAAATTACTCTAATAGGAAATTTAATATTAGTTAATATTGTTAAGTATTTCTTAAAATAAGAAATACTTAATTTGTATATACATATATGTATATATATAAAATGTATAATAATTTTTATACCGAGTTTAATGAACTGTATATATATATATATTAGGATGTGCAATGCGAGAATGTTGAAGAATAATGTAACATATTTTTCTTGCTCTCTTGCTACCGTATTTGATTACCACATTCTTTCTTCACTGATAAACAGTAACCCGTTTAGCGACTGTAAGAAATATAGAAATGTATTCAGAATAATGAATTATCGTACTTATATGCTACTTGAAGATTCAAATAATCTTAAGATTAATTAAAAAGAATAAGTAAAAATAAAAAAAACATATTAACGAATAATCATGATTGACTAATTTTGCTTCTACATATTTGACATCCATAAACGGTATTGTTATGAGATTAACAATCTCCATCAGTCTTATGAATTAAAAATTCTAACTTTTATAATTAACGTTGTATTGTAAAAAGATTATTGAAAAAAATTAATGAATTAAATTTTTCCAAATATTCTATGGCTATTGTTGACAGCAAAGCTACTATCAACAGATGGCAAAATCATTGATCGCAAACTGTTGCGTTTGAGACCGTTTCTATGAAAAAAAAGAAGTATTACGAGAAGAAGGGCACAATGTCATGAGAAAAGTCAACGTCCGATGCGCACTCACGCAATTACACTCGACCGGTCTGCACAAGTGCACGAGCAGAGCATTTTCAGCGAATGCACTCGATCGTGTTCGGTGAAAGTCTGCTGTTGTTGATATCATCCACAAACTACTGTGGTGCGAAGTTTATTTTATGTAAAAGAAAAAACTTAATTTTCCTACAAAATACATCAGTCATATATTTTTTAAGATTCAAGTGAAATAGAAATAAACAATAAGTTTATCCATGAAAGATTAAATAATGCAAATCCAAGTTCCATATATATAAGTAGTGTTTGTCCCAATAAATGATCATTAAAATAACAATTAAAAATCAAATTTTATTCAAATATAATTTTTTTGAGAAAGATTTACTCTATAACGTCTTCAATTTAGAAATGAAAATAATCCTTACTTTCTCACCCCTGGAGAGGAATTCCCACATGGGAATCGCAGAAGCAGTGACACTCAAGGTATAGCATCCCAGAACAAAGGTGAACAGCATAGCAGTTCTAAGAATCTTCATATTTGCTATTTCACTTATCTTTAGTAGCTTTCACGAACACACTTTTTATACGTATTGTTAATCTAGGGAATTCGATCTATCACAGATATACTACCAACGAAAACACTTGTTTTATGATTCAGAATATATATACAAATGATATGATAACGAGTCTAAAAATTATTTACTAACTAACCAAATATTAGTAGTAATATTGGATAAAATTCACGTGGACTCGAATGGACGCAAATGATGAAACGACTTTATCACGTTCAATGGTCTTTGCAAACTGGCTGAATTTCCTTCAAACCCCGGTTATATGTATGTTGTGTATGCCAGTGACGTCCATGAAACACCAGGTCCCCCACTCCTACTTTCAGGAACAGAGTCCACTGCTTATTCCATAATGTTTACTTCTTTCCAGGATGTCACCTAATTAATAGATACTTCTGTGTAGCAAAAAATATATTCATTACTTTTATGTTCTCTGAATCAAAATCTTTAATTCATATTTTTTAAGATTCATTGGATTATATATGTAATACAATATCAAAAATACAATGCCTACAAAAGGTATTTGCACACTGTTGTATTTTTTACAGCATTTACATAATAATTAATTAGGTTCAAGTATATTAAATTTTATATTATGTAATAGTAATTTCATATAACTACAAAAATTTAATATTTTAAAAATGAGGTGACAATCCTGATAGAAAAAGAGGTTTCATTGTATATCAACTTTTTTGTTTATTTGGAACATTAAATTATGAGAGTTTTACAATAGAATTAAAAATTGTAGACACAGAGAAAATCAATTGAAAACGAGTTTAAATGTAAGAGGAAGTCCGTGGTGCTCACTGTCATGAAAGGATCCAATCTTGCTTATCAGGTTCCTCCAGCTACTTTAACAATAAGCCCTTAGAATCACATTCTTCAAGATCCTAACTCTACTCACCAAAAATTACTATTATTGAATTTCCACATATAAAAGAATGAAAGTACAATACAAATATTAAAAGATAAATATTGTTCAAAATGAAATATAATTGTAAATATGTGATTTTCTGTATCGCATTCATGGTGTGTTTTTCAAAATATTTACTATGATTTATTTCAGTGTGAATACATATACGTATATGGTTTATTTTCGTATAAAAGTTTATGACTGCTTAAAGATGTACGTGACATAGGTCAATAATCGAACTATAAATTAATATTCGCCTAGAAATGTTTCCAGTCACTCACATCGCAATTTTTTGGAATTTCCACACAAAAAGAAGTGTAATTCAAATAAAATGATTTTTCATTTACATCATAGAAATATATTCTATTACTAGAGGGCAATAATATAGAACAATAACATTTCAGCTTATGACGTTCCGTCACTTAATTAACAATTTGCGAATTTGGAAGTACAAATTGATTTTCTATGTAGGACAGATGATGTATGAAATATTAAAAATGATTCTACTATTTGTATCTACTCGAGCACGTTGGGAAGACACGTGGATGGAATATTAAGAGTACCAATTATAACCTTTTAATAGCAATAAGAAAGATATATGAGTTTTTGATACTTTTTAGCTATATTTTCTTACAGGTATAGTATATATTAGTATGCTTTTTATAGTAATATTTAGATTGCGAATATACATGCATTTATAAGATCTTTAAAAGTATAAAAATGTACAAAATGCACATAATATCTAAAAACATAAGAAATATTTAAAATGAAGTACATAGTTGTTACATTTATCCCTGAATGGGTAACTTATGTTAATAAAGATGTATATAAAAGTGTATAAAAATCCATAATCTAGTATATTGTTCAAGTCTGTACAATTACGCTATTAATGCTGAAAATGATTCCTATAAGCTTTCATTTAAGATGATGAGAAATTTAGATATCTTTATGAAAACTTCAAAAGAAAAATTGGCGATGAATCTTTTTTATGATAATAGCGAATGTGAGAATTGAAATATGTACCACAAACATACTTTCACGCACATATTGTCGATGCAAGCGTACATTGACGAATAAGGGGCCCTGTACGTATTTTGTATTATTCGTGCAGCTAAATACAGACAATGCGAATAGTCGTCTGTTTAAGTCAATTACTATAACCAGCGTCATTCCAGGTAATCTCGACTATCTCGTAGGTTTGCTGCACATTTAACAGTCAGCATGCAGTCATCCAACTATTATGTCATTCGGAACCTATAAGAATAGATCTACAACAGTGGTTCTCAAATTATTCTTTATGAATTTGGGAGATGAAAATTATAACACAAATCAGTCCACTATTAATTTTTATAAAACGACATTCTGCATTTATTATTATAAAAATTTATATTTTTACAACTCATGAAAACTCGTCGTAACAGTAAATAAAATTATAACATAATTTAATTAAGTACAAAACTAAAGATATAATACGTTTAAAAATTAACATATATATAGGATTGTGTGAATTCAAATTCTCAAAATCTTAATCTTAATTTATATTACCATGATTTTGAGTTTGTCAATTTTATTAAGAATCGATTTCGATCATTTTCCTATATATCGAAAAACATAACCTATAATATAGATGATACTCTAAAGTTTAACAACCAAATTTTCTAATTATACTCCATGACTATGATTAATAAAAGAATATTATATAAACACAAAATATTGAATTTATTATTCTATGAAGCTCATTCTTGTTTTATTTAATAAATTTTGTTTTATTTAATAAAATTATGCACGTACAAAAGTTCTTATGCACGTTCAAAAGGTTTATTCTTTATGGTTGAAAATCACTGCTGTACAATTTCATGAATGTAATTGTAATATATTTTCGATCGATAAATCAGCGTAAAAACAATTGATTGTGAAAAACAATTTACTTGAAAATGAATGACCTTAGAAAAATCGTATATGGAGATTCGTTGACTGAATGAGTCATTCTACTTTCCAAATCTATTGATTGTGGCATTCATGACATATGATCCAACATGATTGCACGTGCACAATTTGTCTATGATTTTCGTCCATGAAAATCTCATGAACCTAAGAAACTTCCTTACTACGTTATATAGAGTAAGGGAGTAAAAGAAGTCCATGATAAATTCTGATTAATTTTTAATCGATCAACTGTATTCTTATCAATTACGGTCTCCTAAGGTTATGTTTCTCTTAGCTATATGAAAAATGCATTAAGATGCTAAAAACGAAAGTCTAATGAAGGTAAATCTAGAACATGCACGTTGCATGATGATGAGAAGGTAAGATAAGATAAGAGAATTATAAAATAAGTTACAAAGTTGTTTTACTCAACATAACTAATATACATATATTCTTTATTTTTGTTTGCCTTTCAACTTTGCAGTAATCTCCTACTCCACATAATCAACATGTTTTGCTTATTACTATTTTACGTTAGCAAGAAAATTCATTAATTAAGTTATTATAATGTAACATTTGTAATTAAAAGGTGGTGTGATTAAAACATTTTGAGCATTACTATGTAAAAAGTAGTTAATTTATATTCATTATTTGATTTATTTAAACTTATGAAACTTACATTACTATGTAAAAAGCAGTTAATTTATATTCATTGTTTGATTTATTTAAACTTATGAAACTTCATACTCGTTCATATAAATGTGTGTTTTAGTATTTTTAATATGTAAATATATGTATAGTATGTTAGATAAAAATGTTGCCCCTCCAACAATTTAACTTTTTCACAAAACTGAGCAATGAAGCTTGACAACCGTTTTTCTTGGTTCGCGAACTATGAATTACTTGTAGTTGTTACAAGTGCATCTCGCTTTTATTTCCCATTTAGATGTTAAATTGATCGAATAAAAATGTATACTTCACTTGTTTTGTTATAGAAAAGAAGAAAACAGTGAATCCGCTTTGTACAATTAATATTTTATCTGCTATTCTAAAACAATTTTGTAAATATTAATAAATAAATTAACACAAAAAATATCATTTTATTTTTATTGTTTGTTTTTATTATTTATTGTCAGTTGTGTCAAAATGGAATGTAGGACGATTGTCAATCGTGAAATGAATATCGTAATGCAAGATTATGGAAATCGCTTCCGCTTTTCATCACAACGATCGTCATCCGAGATAGCGAGGTGCAGAATTTGTTCCGGTTGACATAATAGTTACAGGATGTTTCACTCTTTTTAAAAATTTCTGGTGTGAATTTCAAGTATTTGTATTAATGTAAAATAAAATTACGGTTTTCCAAACCGAGGTAGATGAAACATAAAATACCTAAAAAATCACGTATTTAACAAATCATTTTTATATTAAAGTTATTTTAATATTATATTAAAGTATTAAATTGAATCCTTTAAATAATCTAAAATTGTATCTATAATAATTGTAGAATTATTAAATATTAAGAGATTATTTCAACCAGGATGCAAGGAAAAATTTCCCATTTTTTTAATCCTATAAAAAATATTCCATAAACAAAAAGAACTAATAAACATTGATATTTCGACTAACGTAGCCTCATGGGTTAATAATGTGGCGCCACGAAAATATTTGCCGCGTCTTACAAATGTATAAAAACAATATTAATTCATAAGAAAAAAAGATGAGTATGCAACGATTTAATGGCGCAGTATATCGAAATGAAGCCGGAGAGAGTTAAATGAGTTACGATTTGTTGCCGGTAACGGTGTCAGCGAGTTGAAATGATTATGCGTGAATTTTTTGGCGCGCTGAGTGATGCGAGAATGTGGCGCCTCTAAGGAATGCAGAATTACTACTACTACTACTATATATGGAACAATATTAGGATTGATTAATGAGTGTAGAAACCTTATAGCTGAAAATTCCTGAGGATTGCCACGTCTTTTCGATATGGCGATTTGTTAGAGAATGAGTTAAATTTATCATGCTAAGATCTGCAGGCTCATCATTGGGATACAATTACATTTTTTTATGAGAATTCCTTCTTCGGCCTCTAAAGGTTGTCGCAGATACCTGGCCAATAATTTATCTTGAAATAAAATTACTATTATATACACACAGAAATAATTTATCTATCGTCATTTCGTGTATGAGAAAAATCTAGTTCTCCTCAATTTGAATTGGATAATGTATTCTTTATTTACGAATAGTCTAACCTTTTTCATAATACAAAATACCTTATGCTAATGTGTAGATGCGTATGATAATCTGTTGAATAAAGTTAATTTAACTATTTGTAAATTAACTATGTACGTTATTTCTACGTCGTTTCGTGAAGGGTAATTTATTACTGGCTGATTATAATGAAATATCAATTTTAATCAACTATTATAACGAAATGTAGTGTATTGTGTATTGGTTTATAGCAATGAAGTTAAAGATTAAATTAGATAAAATAACGCATAAAATATATATAAATATCTTACGAAAATATTACCTTTCCAAGATAGAAAAAATGCATTAGAATAATAGACACTTTACAAAATTCCACTACATAAATCAGAGGTGCAAAAGAATTTCTATGATTAAGTAAGAAGAAAGATAGGTTATCAAAGGAATTTCTTGAAACCATCGACTAATTTTATAAAATTCTAGGACCCAGATGAAAGAAGAAATTATGACGTAAAAAGTCATAATTAAATTCTTGGAATTTCCTTTCATAATCACACTGTGTAAAAGTCAAAATTCAACAATGTAAATTGGCTGAAAAAAGATTGTAAATGAAACGAGTTAATGTAATGTTGATTTTTAGAGGAAAATCAACATCGATTAAGAACTTTATATGAAGCAAATTTTCTTACTCTGTCATCTTTATCTATATGAGATAATTAATTCTCCCATTGTATTAACTTTTAAATAGTATTGAATTATTTATGACTATAATAATTTAGATCACTACTCTATTGAATATTTAATTTTATTTTGTATTGTACATTTCTAACGATAGAGATTAGTAATTAAAATAGATTAAATTAAAAATTAAAAATTAAGTAATCTGATTCTAAATTGTCATGATCTCCATTGGCCCAATATCAATAATACCAATGAAGAGTTACTGATAGCGCGAAAATAAATGCCGGATCTACCTATCGAACGGTTTTGCATATGAGTGCAATAAATTTCACAAGTTTTGAATTCCAAAGACATATAACAGTACGTCTGGTCACGTGTACAAACCTACGCAAATCTTATTGACAGCGTTATTCCGAATTCAGGAAATTCCAAGTTTTCGTTTTAACCTGAGATTTTACTGACTGATGCCAAATAGCATTTTAGTCGAACGAGAGATACCGAATAAAAGTAATATAATAATTTTATTCACATTTTCAATTTCGAAAGGTGAAATGTACAAGATTGAGAGAATTTTTTGTTACGGAATTCGTATTTTGCAAATAATTGCATATGATGACTTATGTTTTTGATAACACACGTCTAAGTTCAGTGGTTTTTATTTTCGTCTTCCTGACATTAACGCAACCTTATTAATCTTGGCTATGTACATACATGCATTATACTACTTACTTGAATGTATCCGTAAAGCTATTTACAAGGACGTGTTGGTGCTGTTGCATTTTTTGTGAATAAATTACTATAAAAAGTTATTGATAAATTTTGAACAAATATTGTATCGTAACGCATTTCTCTTAATATTTAGTTTAAAAATTGTATTAGTTTAATAATTAAATTTAAAAGCTATGTTAGTTCAAAAATCAAACTAAAAAATTTTAAACATACTAGTCTATTAATTAAATAATTAGAAATTTAAAAACTATATTAGTTTAAAAATTATGTTAAAAGTTTAAATATTTTATATAGAATATTATTTTAAATTTAAAAATTAAAACTGGTCCAATACTTAAATTTAAAAATTTAAAAATTATATTAGAGTTTAGTTTAATAGTTAAATTTAAAAATTTATAGTTTAAAAATGATAGAAAGTTTACGTAAAAAAATGGAGAAAGACTCGTATTACATAATTTTGAAAAAATACGAAGTAAAATTTTTGACAGAGAATACAGAAGCCTATAATTGATTTGCATATTTTTTGAAGATTGGGGAATACATGGGTGATGTAAACGGTGAAACATCTTCGTGTGGGACATAATTTAAATGCAATTTAAAACTAGTTTAATGGAGTTTCGTATACGAATAAACTTCTTAATTTTCGAGGTATTCGTTCACTGACGTCAATACGAGGAATATTGAAAAGCAGTAAAAAGTTAAACTGGCGCCGTTTTGCCGGGCAACGAATCGTCTTTATAGACGTATAATTAGAGATTCAAATATCTGCTTTTAAAAGTATGTGAAAGAAGTTGCTTGTCACCATCTCTTCTTTTTGTCGGTATAGCGGAATACGAAAAGGGTCGCATACCTACACCTATTTTATTGAAATACTATAAATGCGGTTGTTTTTATACTGCGTCATTATTATTAAATTAATATTTATTACTATAAATTATCTTCATATGTCAGTGATGAATATTTCAAGATGAATCAAATAAATCGTACAAAAATTTATTGCAGATAATGAAATAAAGGCATTTTATACAAGGCAAATGAAAAAAGATACTTAATGGAAAATTTTTGGATAATACAAAATAATTTGCATTATTATATAAATATAAAGCAGTCAGAAATATATTTCTAAATATAAAAATATATTTGACAGTTTAATGTTACAATTTCAGCGATATTTGTACGCTTATAAATGATTTACATACTTAACTAACGTTAATAAACAATTCAATATCAACAAATTAAAAATCTATATAACTTTTATAGTAAAGTAAACGTATAGAAATTTTCTTATATAATTAGAATCTGCATTCGCATTCCTATATTAACATTTATTATTACATATTAACATTTTAATAACACTAACACTTCTTCAACGACGGCCATAGGCATGATGTGATTGATGTGCTATAAAATACAAATATCACAGAACAGAATAAAAAACAAAGACATATAAAAATATAATCCTAGCAAGCTTACGTTTATAAAATTCAGAGAAGTTTACATTAGGTAAGAGAGAATGAACTTTGTTTAAAACTGTAGCTTTTGATGCTAATTTAGCATTTGCATTCCATATCTGGAAAGAAGGGAGGAAAATTTTGTAGCATAGTGTTGTAGCATATGACTTTAGTTCAACTAGTTTTTACTTTGTCTAAGTCATTACTTGGACAAGATCTTCTCTCTCCCTAATAGATACAGTTACTCCACAAACTTCATCACCTTCTGCAACGCAATCAGTAAATTGTTCTCCAATAGCTGCAAGCACTATTTCTTTCCATATTTTTTCCTGAAATTATTGTTATTAATATACATGTGTTAAATAACAATGACAATTCGAATACCTACAGTATCAGATTTATGGCACTTTAATCTCCATGTTCCACCATTTTGATTGACTGGTTCCTCCCATAATGGATATCTTTCATCTCTCATTAAATGGTAACTATATCTGACCTATTGTAGAAACAATTTATTCATGTTTATATCAATATTAACCAACATATTATAAAATATACTTACTTGTACAGCACTAGCATTTGGTATATTGTTGAAAACAGCCCAAAAACTTTGCACAGTGTTCACAGTATAAATCTTCGTTAAATTTTCTTTATATTCTTCGACAGTTGTGCCAGAAATAGCTCTGTCAATTTTACCAACTCTTTAGAACTTTCTATATACACTATGAGCAAACAATGATTCAATTTTTTCAGGATTATGTTTTATTACATTTCTTTTTGTAATATAACAAAAGACCAAAGAAAATATTATTTAAAATATACATACAATAAAGGAAGATATATAAGGAAATTATTCATTTAAATATATCATATTGTACATTACATACACTTTATACAATACAAACAATTCCATCTTCCTAACCAAATATCTATAAAACAACAAAAACTGTTTCCTGAATTAATATAATAAAACACTAACATGAGATACAATTATTGTTGAATATATATTAAATCATATTAAACTGCAGTTTTATCATAAAAAGCCTATATAGATTGACGTATAGTGATATAGGTTATAAATAAAGATGAAACGATACTAATACCACCTAATACTGTTTCACATCGTTACATTGTTTTCTTGTACGTCTAACTAGTTTTTTCATCATCTATAATAATTTTACGATATTAAAAAAAGTAAACATTACTCCGATATATTTTCTTAATGTCTCATAAAAATGAAACAAAAAAGAAATTATATACGCACTGCAATAATATACTCTACATTGGATCAGTAAATTTACAAAATTGTAAGTAATTTAGTCTTCTTACTTGTCCAACCAAAATGTCCAAGACGATTGCAAGGGTATTCCCGACGTTTTATGTTTCTCGATCGTTTTCACCGTTTCATCCGACAATACCGATGTTTCCGACAGGTCGGTCGAAGTATTGTCTTTCGTTTCGTACTCTACCGCGGCCATGTTCGAAATAATGATGCGCATACATAAGTATAGGTTGCGTTGTAACGTCAAAAATCATGTGACCGAACGAGAATGATAACAAAAACAAACGATTTTGTTGTTTGAAAAATGTTCAGCGATATAGATAATCCATCTTTAAGAGCAAATGTATGTAACGTGAATTGTATAGTTTAGGGAACTTATCAAGTAGCTTTGCGAATTTATCAACAGTTTCGAAAATTAGCAATAGTACAGATGTGGATACAAACAGATATTAATGACATATTATTATGAGTTAACAGTAGAATTGTTTTCAATTAGTGGTTTACATGTTTTATATTAACGGTATATATTTTTTTCGATCCGCACTGTACAAAGGCTCAATTTTATTTCAGTTCGCTTCCAAGTTTAATGCTCCTTAAATACAAGGTGACATACCCTTGGCAAGGTTGTCCGATAATCAACGGTCTTTGCCGATGTTATAAAAAATGATTTTTCCATTATAACGCAATCAAATTTAATAATTTTCCAATTTTCATTGTAAATTTATGCCTGCAACAATTTATTATAATCATCGTTGTTATAATTTTCTATTTTTTATAAGCTAAAACAAAATTTACATTTCTGTGGTATTAGATTGTAACTTATAGCGGTAGAATTCCATTTATTTGAATTTACCGTGGGACAAATACTTATGTCCTCACTACTTACGATTTCTCATCCACATAATAGTATTTCATGCCCAGATAAATCAATTCAATGGCCAGAAGTTTATTTAATCGAGCATTAATTAAAATTTTGTTTAAATAAACAGAGTGCATTCAAAAGGACTAATTACACTCGCGCCATGTTATAAATTGTAGGGGGCGTAATAAAAACTCTGATTAATCGATATTACAGAGCATGCAGGATATTCTGTTAAATGCCAAATCCATTTTTATCGATATCAAGAATCGAATCACTCAAGTTGAATATAATTTTTACATATATTCGCCATAGCAAATCGCAGATATAATGTGAAATTCACAATCGTGGTGAGATCTATCTTACAGTGAGTTATCTAATTAATGACTTTAGAGTATAACATAGCATGGTATATCAGATTTCTGCTATGTCTTGCCTGCAATCTTAAAGGTAGAGAAATTATGTCACTGAATTATATAGTGCTGCTGTAGACGGATATATTAGGAAATAAATTGAAACTTTTCTTTAATACCGAATTTAAATAATTCATAATCTTTCACATCAAAAACTATCACTTATCATTATTATCATATATCCAATATTAGTTTCCCACCTTTTATAAATATTCAATTGTTCTTTTTAATTTTAATTTATGTACATACCTATACAATTTAGTTAATTTTTCCAGAATTGTAAATATTTATTTACAATATATAATAATGGATAATTACGAATTTTTTCTTTAGTTTATATACGTTAGTCTAATTAATGTATATTGCTTTACTGTTAAAAATATAATTTTACGAGTAATTATATTTATTAGCAACAATTACAAATTTTTGCCAATTTATTCACCTGTCAGAATGGTTTGAATGGTCTTTCTAGTGTTAATATTTAACATGTACAATTTTATAGTATATAATATAAAAAGATTATAAATAAAATTAACATATATATATATTTTTTTTTTCATAGAAAAGTTATAAAACTGCGGCTCGTATAGAATTATGGGGGTACATTGCGGATTTTTATGCATTTATAGGAAATTTGATAGGACATAAATATAAACGCATATAATATACAAAAATATGTAAAATATCCAAAATAAAGTATTTACTACAATATTTGGTAGATTAAACAAATTTCTATTTAAATTCCATTTCTTTAATTATGTTCATAAAAATATAAAAATGCATAAAAGTTGTGGTCTAATTATAAGACATTCAAATAACATGCGCCAATCGACGATTTGTAAGTCGTGCGGTGCTGTACGCTTGCGTGCAGAAGGGACAGAGAAAGAAATAAATTGAGAGAGCACGTCGTAACATAACGGCAACGACATAGTCAGTCTTCTGCGAACGTTCGGGTGTTTTGGTTGTTTTGTTTGTTCATTGTCAGCCAAATTTCATGTTATTCGTTCTCAACATACATCACACATAGTTCATCCCAAAATTAATTTTATATTTCAATCCTACGCTTCGACGATTCCTATAACAATACGGTAAGATTAATTAATAATCAATCTTAACAATATAAATGTGTCAACATTCATTTTTGGTTGTCGTTGCTTGTGACGAAATTGTGACTTAACATTATTTCTTTAATAAAATCTAAGCTGTGAAAATAGACTGATGTGCGCATGTGAATCTGTCATTCGTTTTAAAAGCGGATCGAAGTGTTAGGGATCTGTTTTCTCTTAGCTTTTACAATAACGTTTTCTCTTCCTCCTTAATATCTTTTCTTTCAGTTTTACTGTATGTATATATATCATGTTACTTATCTAGGAATATAGAGATGTAGTGTAATTATACCCAAATTTGATTGGTCGCGTTTTCACGCATGCGTTTATTATCTATTATGAAATTGTTTTATCACAAATTAATATAGATGTCTAATATTCTTTATCTTAGAAAAATATAATTATTTATGAATTTTATCAATTAGTAGAATTTATATTAGAAATTAGGAGAAGGATTTATACGAATCTATACGAAATATTTTATTATAAAGAATGTGACTAAAGAGTGTGACAGATTTGAAGACGTAAATATCTAACTTCATATTGAGAAAATGATTATTTGTGGGAACTAGGAAAACGATAATTTGATAAGAAATAATTTATATAATAAACAGTATGTAACACATACATACACTTTGCAATTGCTGTTGAGATGATAGTTAATCAAATGCTTGACAAAGCAATGAATTTGAATAAAGCTTATAATTAATATTGACTATCACTGTCTTGTGACAAGTATACACAATATATACATACTGTAACAAGTAATATATACAATTATGTATGTATTATTGTAAATTCTAAATAATCCCGAATAAAAATTAAAAACAATTTACTTCAGTTAATCGAAATGAGCGTCTAACATGGCTTCTCCTCATGTTATGTTACATCTCTATGTTTCCTACATTCCTAAGCATGTAATATAGTTGATAGATCTAAAATTCTTGATAGCTTGATAGCTTGAAACATTTCTGTAAAAATTCACTAGTAATCGAAATCAGGTTAAATTGTGTAGTATATGTACACTCATACTTCGAGTTGTATATTCATACAAGTAGGTGGTTTTATTTATAGGCTTGATCGATTAATGCAACGTTGGTAATTTTTGAAGTAAATGAGCTCGCTCTTATAGTGGTTATTGTCTAGAAGCGTGTTTATGAGACGATATTCAATAAAATGTGAATAGAATATACATGCATGGCGTCGAATATATATACATATATATGTATTCCATTAATCTTCGCAATTGAAAATCTTGAATAGTGATTGACATACAGTAGGATGCAAAAATAAGTGGACGAAGGAAATAGGAATCGATAAAGTTCTGTTAAATACCGCTTATTTATACAAAATGTAAAGGTTAATTTCAATTATTTATTAAATAATCTATGTAATATAACGGTATACATAAAACTTAAAGATGTAATGTTAGTATTGGTTAGATTAAACTTCACTGATATCTAAGTATACACATATATACTTACTTCCATTACTTGTTTAGTTATTTTTGTTTCCGACAGTATATATATTGTAAGTATATTCTTGTAGAAACGTAGTGCAGAGGCTCATATTTGTATGTGTAAACACTGATAGGTAAAGTATATATACTAAAAAGACAGTTACGAGTGCACCTTGGCAGTTTCTACGACCGCGTTTCACCAATTACGTGATAAACCGTGGCAAAGTCACGGTTTTCAGGTCTAGACCTGTTAGTATCGATTTTATTGAATCGTTAAGACAAAAGTGAACTATTCAAAAACCATACTAATGAGCTCTTCTTTGTACATTATATGATTGCATTTAACAACAATATTATTCTAACGACATTAAAAATATTATTAATGACAAAATATTTTTTCATAAAATAATTATAAATTAGGATCAAGAGAATTAAGTTATGAAATATAATTTTAAATTGAAATTTTGTGACAAATATATCTTACTCTAATATATCTTACTATATTCAATTATTTGAATTATGATTTTTGTATTTAGCTTGTATTGTTGGCACTATTGGTTGTACCAACATATACCAACATATGAAATTTTTAATAATCGATATTTTTCTTCATAAGATATCTTTATTTACTTTTCCTACTAATGCAATAAAAATCTTTATCCGAGTTCAACTCTTATTAAATTCAATATTGATCTTGGACGTGACCTGAGTTAATCATCGTAATAATCATGTATGGAATATATATTTACATTATATATAGTATACATGTAGTAGTATACGTGTAGTATATATTATATAGTAGTATACATAGAGTATATTATAAAGTATAGTATAGTAGTAGTATACATAGAGTATACATTATGTACTGTATACTTAAAGCCTTCTTTGCATTTGACATAGGTATTTCTCTTGTCTTGTCTTGTTCTTCGTTACCATGATTATTGCTGATTTTATGAACAATGACAGTGTGTATATATACACATATTATATATCATCGTCTGATACAATTACAATATAACCATCTGATACAATTTATAATTAATGAAAAATGATGGAAACAATTAACTTAGAATAATCAAGCTGAGCTTTCAGAAATAGAAATAGATTTGAAATATCACTATAGTTTCCTCTGAAACGGACATGAAATAATTTTAAAGAAAGTAATACGAAAAACGCACATATGTATACAGTGGCTATAAAGTGTGCATATTCTTATTTTCCAAAAAAGCTTTTTTCTATTTTGTACTACATTTAATTCCCAAAATATCAAATTTTTGTAAGTATTACTAAATGATACAGAGTTGGATCTAATTAGATAGTACATAAATATAATAAATGCAGTGGTGCAGAAATACTTTTGTAGCTACTTTATATACTATAATAATGTACAGTGTGAAAATGACGTTACAAAATGCCGTGAAACTATCCTTACGAAATTTAAGTTACCTAATATATAAATTTTTAAGATTGGTTAATACAATTTTTCTTTTCCCCAAATGTGAAATTCGAAACGTTTCATTTTAATTTTTATTATTGAAACCATGACCATATTATTTTTGTGCGATTGAAATAAAGAAATCAGAAAAATCGTGAAAATTTTCTTGCGCCACGGTGCATGAGACGCGCATGCGCATATCATATATATATGTCGGATCTTCATGAAAATTAAATTTTTCGCCACTTATGAAATTTTATGTCAAACGGTCAAATGTGTGTCCATCGCGAATTATATACATGAAAACATAAATCTTTATAAGGAAAGTTCATTACTATTTGATAAGTTAGTCGAAATGAAGTCCTACAAATTCTACGAATCTAAGGTATCCTAATTGTCTTTCCAGAAATAATAAAGTACAATGTAGATAATAAATAGATTCATATTGAGGCAAAATATTTTGAAATTTCAGATATAAATTTTTCAAATTTTTAGTTTTCAAACATCTTTATTCCGAAATTATATTTTAAACTATATAGTGATCAGTTGTTTATTATAATCTTTCTGCTTGTTAATTCTAGGTTACCTACTGAATCTCATAACTCCTATGAAAAATGGTTCATTGCCCTTCCGGTGTCGTATTATTGATAGTTGATTAGGAATGAAAGGATAACATTTAACACGTTCCGTTCCGCATGGAGCGTATCCTCCCCATGCTGAACTTTCCATTTAAGCCATTTGGAATTTGGTAGAGCAAATGTTCAACCATGTGTTTGTTAAAACAATTCCTTAAAAATTAAGTTTGTTGCTTTGATGTCTAATACATTTTAGACAATACACTTTTTTCTTGATAATTATGTTGTTTGCACTACTAAAAAAATTGTGTGGCATAAGCAAAGCTATTATTCGTAATAACGTGTAGTATATATGCCCAACGTCTGAACGGAAAATAACCAAAGATCGGTCTGGCAAGTAACGTGTTAATGAGATCCGAATCTTAGAAGGTCGAATTTAATTACAAATCTACGATATCTTAATGAATATACATATAAATTACGTTTGAGCTGTCGAAAACTATAGGTATTTTATTTAATATCTTTTAATCTTGTAAATTTAGAGATTTATGTGTCTATATGAATTCTAATTACACTTCCAAAAGTGACTACTTAAACGTGAATAATTTCCTCCTCAAATATACCATTCATTTAAGGACACCATTTATAATGCACTGATAATGTGTATGGAATTGTAATAATTAATAAAATTGCTTTAAAAATCGCTCAATAACCATTTTAATGCATAAAACAATTGTTGTGGTGTAATTCGCAACGTTTGTTGCGAAAAAATGTGACTAAAAAATTCAAGATAATCTTAAAATTTCGAAATATACGAGTGATAGGAAAGATCATTGTGTCGTTAAATCATCAAATTTCCATGAGAAATATGTACCCAGATTATCTTTGTTGTTTACCAACATAACTGTTTTTTATCGCTCATACGTATAACGTAATATTTAACGATAACAGGAAGATATGTTTTGTTATTGAAATATTAACTAAAAGTGGGTGTCTAGCAGCTTTTGTAGCACATTCTAGTATAGCGTTTTTTAACCTTTTTTGAATCAGGACTCCTTCTATAATATTCACCTGATCTGGAATTCTCATAGGTTAGGAATGTGTATTCTATTACATTGCATATAGTAATAGTTTTACTGCATCCTGTTTCGCTATTTAATATTATTTATCTTATAGCAATAGTTAATAGCATATAGTAATAGTTTTACTGCATCCTATTTCACTATTTAATATTAGTTATCTTGGCAACATATATTACCACAAACATTTCATAAAATCGTAAAATACTCGTCAAGGTATCATACTACCTAGGTTATGTTTACATGGTGGTGACAGACCTGGCACTGTTGCCATATCTACTCTTATTATGGCGCGTACCGTGTGTATTTAAAGTAGACTATGACGAGGTTAGGGTTGTAACACAAGGCTGTGATCCAATGTGTGACAACACTGGAAGGATAGGAAAACGTAGGCGTACTTATACCCGAAGGTTGGGCTGTGTGAGATCGATGTG